CGCTCCTGCCGGGAGGAGACACATGAAAGTCTAATAACTAACTTGGCACTGAACAGGATCCTCCAAGCGCGCGATCTCACCCTCAAGGCGGTCAATCATCTTCTGCGAGCTGGCGTGCATTGACCCTCGCATGGCCGAGGTGGTGCTCCTGGCTGATTGCACCCTACCTCACTTTTGAGCCTGACTACTAGCCAAGCCCAAAACAAGTAGTAGCCATGATTATTATTACTTAAAAGTTGCATTAGAGCTCCTCTGATGACTCTGTTTGCCTTTGCCCTTGACCAAGTCTGCCGGGCCACCATATTTGGGCGTTGCACGCTCCATGGTTGCTGGGCGAGCTACAGGACTCACACTCGTCTATCAATCAAAAGGCCACTGGAGCAAAATTAGCTTCAGATTCAGCGTGTCGTTACATCAGAAACATGTGCATGTGCAAAACGAGGCAATGTGACGCTCACAACTGCAAAGCTCAATGCTGGCAGGTTGCCATTCACGCTGACGCTGGGCAATGAAGCAGCTCCATGTCAGGCCTGGGCACGGGAGCAACCCCAAAGACCACCAGCCTACTTCACATTCACACTTGACCATGCAGCGGCATGCACCTCCTCAACCATCCCAAGAACAATCAGTCCTCAAATCCGAAACTTTCAGCAACCCTCTCACACTACTGTCAATCGAGACTGGCTCTAGACCCTAGATTGGCGAATGACTATTGCCGACTTACACAGAATGACTCTGACTGTAGTCGCAGCGGCGAATGGTTCATGCCGCGCTACTTCAGATACTCACTCTCGACTCTAGTTCGGCGGATGTCTCTTGCCGATCTACACTTCGACACCGACCATCTTAGACTCTAGCTCGGCGAATGTCTCTTGCCGATCTACACACTGACACCGACCATCTTAGACTCTAGCTCGGCGAATGTCTCTTGCCGATCTACACAGTGACACTGACCATCTTAGACTCTAGCTCGGCGAATGTCTCTTGCCGATCTACACACTGACACTGACACTGGCAGGCGGCGAATGGTTCATGCCGCACTGCTGCTTAGACAGTCACTCTGGGGCACCGAGCGTGGCCATGAAGAAGAGCATCTCGATGCGCATGACGATTTGGTTGCTCACACTGGGACATAGAATGGTTCAGTGGTAGGGCTGAATTTATGGTTCGTCTTATTAATAAGGCTTCAGACAGGCAGGGCTCACTCTCACTCTCAAAATGCTGCGAGCTAAAGCGAGCAAGATAACCCTGATTTATCAGCGCGCCCTGCCCCCCCCCCCTCCCTGCAAAACCCACAAAATTAAAAAACTTCCGAAAGCACAACCCAGTTGATCATGTTGGGGAATTTTCGCTGTTTTGGCGGCCCTGGAAACCACCCAAAAGGCCAATTTTTTTGATGCTTGACTATTTTGAGCCTTCACCAATCCCGCCAAAACGTAGGATTTTCCCTAGGTTGCCAGCAAATGGCAAATTTTGGTGATTTTTGACCATTTTGGGTCTTCATAAATCCTCAAACCACAAAGAAAGCCGACAGCTTTTTCGAAGGCGCCCAAAAGGCCGCCAGCGGTTTGCGAACGCTTGAAGAAAGGCCAACAAAGCCGGTGTTTTGCAGCAAAAAGCAAAACGTCGCCCAAACTCCGGACCCAAACCCTAAACAAATTCTATAAACCCTAAACCCGAAACCAACCCTAAACCCTAAACCCTAAACCCTAAACCCCAAATCCCAAACCCCAAACCCTAAACCCTAAACCCTACACTAAGGCCCCCGGCGTTGAAGCTGGAGTTTAGCGAGGCATCGGAGCCCCAGAAAGACCGAAAAGGCTTGCCTGGGCTGGGCTCACATGGCTCCAGATCGAAGGCTACTGCCTGTTTATAAGGTTTGTTTCATGGGCCCTTAATACGCTCACTAACCTCCTTTCAAGGGTTCTGATGTATGGGGCCTGAATTTGTATAGGGTTTATAAGGGGTATATAAGGGGTACCCTTTTAAGGGCCCATACTAAGGGACCATGTAACCACCCTTAGACTGTTACATTCCTAAGCCCCGAACCAGGGTTCAGGGTTCATCCGGACTTGTGTGGTCGGTCGATCCACGGGCAAGGAGGCTAGCGATGCGGGCCTCTATGCCTTTTAAGGTTCAGGGTTCAGTCAGGGTTCAGGGTTTAGGGTTTAGGGCATCCCGAACCCAAGATTTAAAAAACTGTGCTTCCTTCCTCTGGGGTTCCTAAATTACTCGTTCTGCTCTTGAAGGGCAAGACCCTGAACAAAAAACGGTATTCGGGTTTGAGGGCTTTGTGCTTAGGGTTATGGTGCTCCGAGCGAATTGGCTTGATGGTATAACCAGGGTCAGGGTTTCTCAAGTTTTGTGGGCTCATTGCTTTTGCTTCGGGGTTTCGGGTTTGTGGTTCAGGTGTTTGAAGGCTTGAAGGTTCTTGGCCCTGAGCCCGAGATCTTACCAGGACATATGGGTGGTTTTCAAATTTATGGTCCCTTTTTGGATCCCTATTGTAACCCGGCATAATATTTAGGGTAACTCAGCAGGGATCATAATTTTTGACAACCACCCATATGTTTGTTGGGCAATCCCTGAAACACACCGTAAACCCTACAAACCCTACAAACCCTAAAAGCCCTAAAAGCCCTTATAGCCCTAAAAGCCCTAAAAGCCCTAAACCCTAAACCCTGAACCCTAAACCCTAAACCTTAAACCCCAAACCCGATGGCCCCACTTGTACACCCGAAGCACTGGAGGGCCCAGTGGAGCACGCCAGCGCTCGGACGAAGAGGGCCTCTTGAAAGCTCAGGTGGCCTCACAGCTTTAACAGAAGCACTCGAGTTTAGGGTTTCGGGTTTAGGGTTTAGGGTTTAAGGTTTACCGGGGCGTATCAATCGCTAGAAAAAATGGTTTCGTAGGGGTTCGGGTCGATGACTCGATTGAACAGGATTCTCGGCTTTCGAAGAAGCCTTGAGGGGTCGACAATACCCGAATTAGGGAAACTCCCCTGAACAATTTCAGGGTTTAGGGTTCAGGGTAACCCTAAACCCTAAGCCCTAAACCCTAAACCCTAAACCCTAAACCCTAAACCCTAAACCCTACACCCTAGTTGGCCTCTCTTGCGTCGCAGGCCCTGAGCTGAAAACACACACCAAATCCCTGCATGGCCAGGTCTGTAAAGCCATTCTCCCTTGTTGGGCGGTTGCCGTAAATGGCCGTGTTTAGGGTTTAGGGTTTAGGGTGAGTAGGCGCTGGACCAGAATTGAAAGAACTGAGCACTTGCCTACCTGAAGGTTATGGATGTTATGGTGAAGATCGCGAATGAGCGGGGAAGGCCTTTCAAGCTGCTTTTTGACGCTTAGGAAGTGCTGCTGGCTTTGTTGGTTGAGGGAATCTCGCAAGACCCAACCCAAAACCCAAAACCCAAAACCCAAAACCCAAAACCCAAAACCCAAAACCCAAAGCCCAAAGCCCAAAACCCAAAACCCAAAACCCTATACCCTTGGCAACTCTTGGGCCAGATAAACGGTTTAAATCGACTCTAGAAACTTCGAAGCAGCCTCAAGTTCGAGACTGTTCTAGATTGAGCTCCCTGTCAGGTTTAGGGCTTTAGAGGGGGTTCACTTCGATAAGGGCCTCCGATGCGCAGCCATGAATACATCCCCTTAAAGATTACAGAAACCCAGAGAAACGTCATGAGCTCAGGCCCGCGCTAAACTGAAACTCCCCCGTCATGTGGCCCAGAGTTAGGATCTTCACCTCACTGGCGCACGGAGGTTGAAGCGGCTAGAACAAGGTCGCCGGCTGTGGCTGCGGCCAAGGGAACGGAGCCCTCCTGGATTGAAGTGCAGGAGAGGGAGGGAGAGGGGAACTTAGGAAAATTAAAGCTGTTGCTCTGCGGTGGTTTTTGGTGTATAGAAACATCCCAAATTTAGAGGACCGAAGAACCCTCTGCTAGCATGTGCGGGGTAAGCGATGGACAACGCATTCTGAAAGAGCGGCAATTCCTGTTCGACAAGGAGGAAGCACATATATGAAACTTGTAAAAAGGGTCAGGATGAACCTGAGCAGTACGTGTTTAGGGTATTAGGGTATTAGGGATTAGGGTTTAGGGTATGTTGCCAGAAGTCTCGATCGGATCCCGACTGAGGTTCAACGAAGGTAGCTAAATTAACCGTAACATGTCCACTGGATTCATTGTATTCACCGCTCTGCTTCAGGTTCAAAAGCTGGGGTACACATGGTCGGGAAATGGCCGTGTGATTGGAGTTTTGTGCTCTAGTCCGGCTGAACGTAGTATTTGGATTCCGGTGGCCTTGCAAATGAGTTGGGAAGCATGCTGTGCTATTTGTGACCCTGGGCGCAATTCATTGACTCGGTTTCCTGATGGGTCTCATGGATTTTTTCTCAATCGGTCTTGAACTATGCTCGTCGTGCAATGGGACTTAAAGGGATCCCTTTCTCTCCTTGTTCAAGTCATGAAGTAATATAAAGGATCCTTGCCAAGAGTCCAGGATGATTTCACAAACGATGACAGACGTGTCGAAGCATGTTCTTATGTCGCCTTTTGACTGCTATGAAGCACGAATGACTTTAACAACATGAACTCTAAAAAATCCTTTAAGTCTTCAAAAAACAGTGTTTTGTAATGTGGAGCTGTTAACAGAAGCGGCTCTCGTGATCCCTCCCCCAGCCCCCCAAAATATTCCTCCGCCGCACATCACAAGAGTGGCCTCTACCACTAGATGATGCCTGCAGTTCCTGCCCACAGATAGTCCCTGATCCCTCAAGTGCCCGCCCGCACGTGCAGATGATCCCTGGGATGGTTTCCCGTCATCACCACCCACGCTGGCATGTTCCAAGCGGCTTATGCCTTCTCCCTCCCTCTCCCTTTCTGTCTGTCAGTCTGTTTCTGCCTGACTCCCTAAACCCTAAACCCTAAACCCTCAACCTTAAACCTCATACCCTGAACCCTAAACCCTCTCCTCAAAAGCACTACACAGACGCTAAGGCCGGCTTTTCTTCCATGCCAGTCTTCTTTTAGTCCCCTCCTCCAGCAGCTGCGACCACAATGCCAAGTGCCCTGGCTCCTGCAGTATATTACGTTATTAGTCTATTATACTATATTGAATGATTACTATACTATACAAAATTGGATTAGTGTATTAAATCATGAGTACATTATATATATATATACATTATATTATACAGTATTAGTACTTTATTGTGTTATATGACGAAAAAGTGGGTGACCAGGGTGTATGGGTGTGGGGTCAGAGGCTTGCGTGCCTGCCTTGAGCGCGGTCCGCAGATCCTCTGCCTCTTCCAGCAGAGGCCAAAAAGGGCAAACCATCTTTGTTATTCTTGCTATGTTCCAGTATATGGTTCGTATATTATCCTATATAAAATTATTTGTATATTCATTATTAGTATCCGCCGACCCCCCTAAGGGGTTGGCGCCCGTGAAGCCTTCGTCTGTCCGTGTAAGCGATGCTCTCATAGCTCACGTATCCCCACTCCGGTTCGCCCCGGTACTTGTCCCAGTTCTGTTTGTTCATGAAAGCGATATTGTCTCATAGTTCACGTATCCCCACTCCTTCTTCGGTCCCAGTTCCCCTTCCCCCACCACGTTTGAGGGCCTCGTTTCAGGGCGCCCCCGTCCCCCCCAAGCGACCCCCCAGCGAGCCCGCCACGTTTGAGGGCCTTCCCCGCCACGTTTCAGGGCCCCAGCGAGCCCATTCCCCAGCCCCGCTGCCACGTTTAGGGCCTTCCCCTGCCACGTTTCAGGACCCCAGCTGCCACGTTTCAGGGCCCCAGCGAGCAGCCCCCACCTCCCCCCACCTCCCCCTGCCACGTTTCAGGGCCTGGCCCCCCCCCCCCGCCACGTTTAGGCCCTGCTACCTTCTTTGAGATGTTTTTAAGGGGCTCCAGCGCATGGCCACCCCCACCGCCCCCACCGCCCCCACCGCACACCGCCCACCGCCCCCCCCCCCCCACGTTTGACCTTCCCCTGCCACGTTTCAGGGCCCCATCCATTCCGCCCCCACCTCCCCCTACCTTCTTTGAAATGTAAGGGGCTCCAGCGCATCCCGCACCCAACCCCCACCCCAGGCCCCCCTTCCCCCCCCCAAGCCAGCCCACCGCCCACCGACCACCCCCCCCGCCACGTTTGAGGGCCTTCCCCTGCCACATTTCAGGGCCAGCGAGCCCATTCCCCAGCCCCCACCTCCCTCTGCAGGGTCGCTCCAGCGCATGCCCGCCCCCACCGCCCCCACCGCCCCCACCACCGCCCCCCCCCCCCTTTCAGGGCTCCAGCAAGTCCATTCCGCCCCCACCTCCCCCTGCCACGTTTCAGGGCCACTGGCTACCTTCTTTGAGATGTTTTGGGGGCTCCAGCGCATGCCCGCCCCCACCGCCCCCACCGCCCCCACCGCCCACACCGCCCAGCGCCCCCCTTCCCTCACCACCCCGCCCCCACCGCCCACACCGCCCACCGCCCCCCCTTCCCCGCCACGTTTGAGGGCCTTCCCCTGCCACGTTTCAGGGCCCCAGCGAGCCCATTCCGCCCCCACCTCCCCCTGCCACGTTTCGGGGCCACTGGCTCCTTCTTTCAGATGTTTTTAAGGGGCTCCAGCGCATGCCCCCCCCCCCCCCCCCCCCCCCCCCCCCCCCCCCCCCCCCCCCCCCCCCCCCCCCCCCCCGCCACGTTTGAGGGCCTTCCCCTGCCACGTTTCAGGGCCCCAGCAAGTCCATTCCGCCCCCACCTCCCCCTGCCACGTTTCAGGGCCACTGGCTACCTTCTTTGAGATGTTTGGTTTAGGCTTTACCGTGCAGCCCGAAACTGAGCCCCAAGACCCCTAAACACTCAACCCTAAACCCTAAACCCTAAGCACTCAGACTTTAACCCCAAACCCTAAACCCTAAACCCTAAGCCCTAAACCCTTAAAGGTTTAGAGGAGTTAATTATATGGAGTAGGGGTGGGCCGTACGCCGAGCGCGCGGAGTCTCCGAGCTCGACTCCCCCTTAGAAGGATGGGCGGGTTTGTCGGTATGTTGCTAGGGTTTACAAACTGAGTTGACGGAGTTTGTAGTGTGTGTAAAACAGCAGAAGCGCGGGGGAGCACACTTCTGGGACATTTCCGGTCTGAGAGACTCCACAACGGTACTCTCCCCCGTTTTGGCAGGGCGGGGGAGGGGGGGGAAGTGCAATTTTTCAAGCCTGAAATGCCACGAAACTGTTCTCGCCTGGCTCTCGGGAGAACGAGGGAGGGCACAAGCGCGGGAGAGTACAATTCTGGGACTTTTCGGGCCTGACAAGCTGTTAAGCTGTACTCCCCCACGTGTTGGGAGGGGAGGGCGCGGCACAAGTGCGGGGGAAAGTTTAGGGTTTTAGGGTTTCGGGTTTGGGGTTTAGGGTACAGAGTCTAGGGTTTATGGTTTAGGGTTCAGAGTTTAGAATTTAGAGTTTAGGGTCTAGGGTTCAGGGTTTAGGCTTTAGGCTTTAGGGTTTAAGGTTTAGGGTTTAAGGTTTAGGGTTTAGAGTGGGGTTTAGGGTTTAGGCCTTAGGGTTTAGAGTGGGTTTGGAGTTTAGGGTTACGGGTGCAACTTAAAGTACCCTGTCGCCGGAAGCTCCCTGCCTAGCTCCCTGCCTCCAGGCTGCGTGCGTGTCGTGGCATGCCAAACAATAAGCAAAGACAAACTTTGCCGGCCTGGGGGCCAGACAGAGGTCCGGAGACCCCGCCGACCACAAGTCCCGCAAAGCACAAGCAGAGTCTGCCAGCCTCGGGGCCAGGCAGAAGTCCGAAGACTTCGCCGACCCCAAGTCCGGCAAAACACAAAGGCTTGCCAGCCTCGGGGCCAGGCAGAAGTACGAAGACTTCGCCGACCCCAAGTCCGGCAAAACCCAATGACTTGCCAGCCTCAGGGCCAGGCAGAAGTCCGAAGACTTCGCCAACCCCAAGTTCTGCAAAACTCTCACAGGGCTTGCCAGCCTCGGGGCCAGGCAGAAGTCCGAGGACTTCGCCGACCCCAAGTCCGGCAAACACAGACGTCATGCGAAACAAAAGCATCACCCAGCGCAACTAGGTTTCGGGCCAGGCCGAAGCTGACCCGGACTCCCCACTGCCAGCCCCCACAGCGAGTCACCCTCGGACCGGCGCGCGATGGCTGCCCATGGCCTTAAACCCCAATCCCTAAAACCTGGGTTGTGATCAGGGTTTGGAGTTTGGGTGCTAGGGTTTAAACGTTGGGGCATCTTGGGTGTTCGATACACCCATAAACACCTCAACCCTAAACCCCTGACCCCCCGGAGCCTTAATTAACCCCTCCGTACCCCAAACTTCCAACCCCGGGCCGGCCTCGAGCAGCTGCTCCGGCACCGCGGCTTGACCAAAGGGCTGACGTAAACTTGTCGGCAGGTGCTGCCGACAAGGACTCTTACATCCAAATCTGGGCGACTGAGCAATTACTCACATTAGCTGGTCGTAGTTGCACATATCCTCGAACTGCAGGCTGTTGCACAAGATTGTTGCCAGTCTGCAAAGAGACCAGGCCGGCAAATGCTGCGCAGAATGATGATCCCAAAGGCAGAATCTGGGAAACCTGAGGCGGACGGCATTTGCCATGTCGTGTTTACCCAAGGAGCATTGCGTGGCCTCGTCCTCAATGCTGGCCTGTCTAGAAATAAGCCTTTCCATACAAAAAAAATGCACGATCGCTATCGACCTGTGCAAGAAAGCCCGAGCCAAGGCCCACGGGCATCCGAATAAGTGGCAACCTTTGCCTTCTTATCAAGAAGGGTTAGACAATGCTGTGCATGCACGATCGAGTCGACCAGTGCTAGAAGCCCGAGCTGGAACCCAGGGCTTGCCTAGTCTAGTCGCAGATTTGCGATATGGGGTCCTGATTTCAGCTCCACATGCGCAATGACCTGTGGGACGAGATGAGGGGACCTGGCGACATCCTGCACGTCCTTCTTTCCAGGGGTCGGCGGCACTGGCGGCAGCCATTAAATATTCTGTTATGTTGTACGTACTATATTGTAGAAAATTAGAATGGCTACTCTGCCATCTGTCGGCCTGAAATGTGCGTCGCTTTGCTGTGTGATTCGCCTTAGAAGAGAGCGGATGTCAGCAACCATCTCACGATGTCTCATGCATGGAGCTGGCTGCCTTTGTTTTTGGCTGTTTAGGGTTTAGGGTTCAGGGTTTAAGGGTTACAAGGGTTTAGGATTGAGCTGCTGCCGAGCACTGCTTATTCTGGAGTGAGCCCATCTACACTGCTTGAAACACCGAATTCTCAAGAAGCTGGCACTAGTATCCACTGAGGATCCCTGACAAGACGCGAGAAACTTAGCGCTTTGATCTCGTCTCAGTCCCGCGCCACCGCAATTGCCTGCAGCATCTCCAATGTGACCTCCAAGCGACATGCTGGCTCTTGTGCCACAGGTGAAAACTACACGAGCAAACTAGCTTCAATATCAGATCCGGCGTAGGTTTCAGTGGTCTTCAGGTCAGGTACTGTCTTCGCTCAGTGCTGCAAGTTAAACGGACAATAGTCTATTCACACAGATATCTGATCACGTGAGCAGGTGCCCGAAGCGCGCCTGTACCCGGTCCTGCAGCAGGTGATGTATTTGTAGGCTTCCGAATGAAGGGCCGAAGCATGAAGGGCTGGGGGGGGGGGGGGGGGGAAAGATTTGAACCCTAAGCCCTAAGCCCTAAACCCTAAACCCTACAAAGGCCGGCTTTGACTCCCATATCAAGGGTTTAGGGACTGTCCATATGGGCAGATTCCATTCCCGTAAATGTTGAACACTGCACATCTCAGCCCAAAACCCAAAACCCAAAACCCAAAACCCCAAACCCAAAACCCCTTTTTGTTCTCTCCGGCTGGTTAATCCTAAATTTTCAGGAACCTGGGGTCGAAATAGGGACCAAAAAAATGGGTGCCATTGCACCTCCTAACGCCAGTAGTTAGGGAAAAGGGTTTAGGGTTTAGGGTTTTGGGCTTAGGGTTTGGGGTTTGGGGTTTAGGTAGTAAATGTACCAATCACGAAGCTACAGTGTTTTAAAGCGTATACAGGCTGCGCCTCAGGTAAAGTCTAAGCCCTAAACCCCAAACCCCAAACCCTAAGCCCTAAACCCAAAACCCTAAACCCTAAACCCTCTCTTAGACTGTAAGCCACAAGCGGCTCCTTCCCCACTCGCCGCTCGAGCGTGGAGAGCATGCCCATTACCTGAAGGTCTAGGCTTTGGGGTTTGCAACCCTAAACTTGTAACCCTAAACTCTAAACCCTACCTAAACCTCTCCTACTATATATATATATACACATATATATTTAAACGTTAAACCGTACAAATCGACGCTACCGTCTCGGGGGGCGCTGCCCCCCGAACGCCCCGCCAGGACTCCTCGCCCTGGACCCCGCGGACCGCGCCAGGGGGACACCCCCTGGTACCCCCGAAATTCAAGTCATGTCTAGGGTTTAGGATTTTCACAGTTTTTTTCGAGTGTTATGTCTAGGGTTTAGGATTTTCACAGCTTTTGTTCGAGTTTTAAGTCTAGGGTTTAGGATGTTCACGGCTTTTTTTCGAGTTTTAGGTCTAGGGTTTAGGATTTTCACAGCTTTTAGGCCCAGGGTTTAGGATTTTCACGGCTTTTTTTCGAGTTTTAGGTCTAGGGATTAGGATTTTCACAGTTTGTTTTTGGAGTTTATGTCCAGGGTTTAGGATTTTCACAGAGTTGTTTCGAGTTTTATGAGGGTTTAGGATTTTCACAGTTTTTTTCGAGTTTTATGTCCCACGCATCGAGGCTCAAATATGGGACTGTGAACTCGGTGATTTTTTTCGAGTTTTATGTCTAGGGTTTCGGATTTTCACAGTTTTTTTGGAGTTTTATGTCTAGGGTTTAGGATTTCACAGTTTTTTCGATTTGTATGTCTAGGGTTTAGGATTTTCACGGTTTTTTTTGATCTTACGCTTAGAGAAGAAGGCGGTTGGATATTTTCCTAATGGTGTGGGACCCAATGGGCGGGTGGGTAATCCCCTGTGGCCCTGAAAGCTGCTCAACTAGTGAATGCTTGGACCAGAGATGCTGAACCCTAAACCCTAAACCCTGAACCCTAAACCCTAAACCCTAAACCCTGAACCCTGAACCCTGAACCCTGAACCCTAAACCCTGAACCCTGAACTCTTATTTGGGGCTTTGGGTTTCGGGATGTGCTCCACTTGAACTTCTGTCAGCTGCAGGTCTGGGCTTTTACGGGCCTTAGAGCCTTGGGGCTTGGGGCTTCGATTTCAAGATGAGGGTTTAGGGTTTAGGGTTTAGGGATTAGGGTTTAGGGTTTAGGGTTCAGGGTTTAGGGCATCCCGCCGCGCAGCGGCAGTAAGTGCCATGCGTAAATGGCGCCCCTACACACCCAGGGGGTGTGGGGGGGCAGCATGTCACACGAAGGCATCTCTTGTCAATGTGATCCAACAATTTCATTGGTGCTGGGTTCTTTCTCCCCACCCGTTGCGAGCTTTCACAGGCAGGAGGGAGGCCGGCCAAAGAACAGGGGTCAGGGCGGGTCAGGGTAGGAGAGAAGGCTAAGGAACAGGAAGGGGGTTAGGGGGTAGGGCGGGGTCAAGGGGGGGTCAGGGGGGCCAGGAAGGGGGGGCAGGGGGGGCAGCGGGTAGGGGGTTCGGGAGTCAGGTAGAATGAAAAAAAGGTGCAAGAAAAAGGGCGTTTTTGGCTCGGGAAGGGGTACCCCCCCATGGTCAGGGACCAGGGGGCCTCCAGAGGGGGGCCCTAAGGGCTCCAGGATGGTGGACTCTGAGGGTTTTGGTCCTTGGCTTTAGGGTGTTCTCACCAAGATCAAGAAAATCCCTGTGTAAATATGGGCGCCACGAGCCCGAGGGGCTCTCTATTCGACCATTCTCCAATGGCTCCGCCCATTGTCCATCCAGTAAAGTTGTCCATCACTGCCGGGCAGGCCGGGTGGGAATTTTGGGTTCAGGGTTTTGGGTTTCGGGTTTAGGGTCGGTTCCCGCACGCCCACATGCCAAGGGCCAGTCGTAGAGGTCAAAGAGGTTCTCCGGCAGGCGCTGGGTGTCCACGGCCTGGGTAACTAACAGTCCATTTGCTTGCGGCGGCTCGGCTGATATTGCTTGTGAATGAGCTCAGGGTCTGGGGCTTGGGTTCTATGGGGTTCAGGATTGCCCTGAGGGTCCATGTACCCATATCGTATATATTTGGGCCCTAAAGCTACTATACGGGAACCCCTTTAAGGCCCAAGTATATACTATATAGGTACATGGACCCTTTGGGTTGCAGGACTCTGCGCAGTTCGTGATGAGGAGCCGGCAAAGGCGCAGGCCAAGACGGACAGCAGCACCTTGGTCGTGTGATGCTGTGTTCCTGCGTCTACGATTCAGGCTTGCTTTGCAAAGTTCTCTTGGGACGCAGCGGGAACACGGCAGATGTCATCAAACACCAACATTCTGGCCTTCCGGGCGCAGGCACTGAAATCGCGACAAGCTTGCATGTGCACTGAACCAGCAGGCGGAGTACGCGCGGCCTCGAGCATGTCATCACACGCTCCTGCCAGGGTGCGGCAGAGGTTGCCAGAGATGCGCTGCACAGCAGTCCTGCTGTGCATCGAGTTCAAGTAAACCCAGCTGAATGTTCCATATATAGATACACATATTGTGTATCTATATATACATATTTAAAACATGCTATATGTAATATGTATGTAATTTACATACATGTAAACATGTGTACATATAGATATATAATATGATGTGTCTCTGTAGATGTGTATGTCAACGGGGGTGATGGAGCATGATGCAAGATTCAGATGCCCCTGCCTTCGCTCTGCAAGTTCCTGCGGAGGTATGTGAAGTGGTCCTGCTAAGGTTGAGGGCTGGGTTTAGGGTTGCCTAGGTTTTGCCGGCTCCCATGTAAATGAGGCTTTGGGTTGTTAGGGTACCCGAAACCCGAAACCCAGCTCTTGAGGTCTACAGAATCGTAGAAAAACCTTATAAACAGCCGAGGAGGCTCCTGCATCTTCATCGTCCTGGCAAGGAGACCCGAAAAACCACGGGCAACTGGCACGGTCAGCTCTCTCACTTGGTTTAGGGTGTAGGGTTTAAGGTTTATAGGGTAACCTGAAGCCCTAAACCCTAGATTCATAAAGGGCCGGAAGAACCACCAAGAGGGAGCTTTTGCTTTAAGGAGCTGACCGCATCACGAAGGAAGGTGCGCGGAGAACCCCTCCGCCTGAAGGAGGAGAGGCACGCTGAATGATGGATCTGCACCTGCAATAGCTATCTACATTGTCGGGTTCAGGGTTCAGGGGTTAGGGTTTGGGGTTTAGGGTTTAGGGTTTAGGGTTTAGGGTTTAGGTGACCTCAACCCTCCGCCGCCTCCCCCACCCTGCACCCAAACAAAGTACGGTTCCTCTGCGGTCCGCTACAGCAGCTACAGATGCTCTCAACAGCTGCCCAGCCTGAGCGGTGAGAGATGCGCCCTGGTATCTCAGTCTCAGCTCATATCTCAGAAACCTCAAGCGAGTAGGGCCAGGATCTTGAAAGAAGCTGCCTTACTTCTCCAAAACCAAGGGACAAAGTTAAACTTGCTTCATTCCTCTATTCCACGGAAACCCATAACAAGTTTGAAGATCAACACTATTGGCTCAGCAAGCTTCGGCAGCGCACCACCTGAAGATTGGCAGGCTCACCGTCGACGGGTGCTGTGAAGCCCGCAAGCAACGAGTGGCTCAGGCTCATCATCGAGGCCGCCGTGGGGCACACGAAATCGGCCTTTATCATGCCGAGCTTCCTTGAGTGAATGCTCAGTCGTTTCCTTACTTGCTCTCGAATATCCTAGGGGAACCGAAAAGGAGGCACGCAGAAGGATTTCGTCTGCTCTCCGAACCAAGAGGTTAAAGTCTGCACAACAAAGGCTCAAAACCACCAAGTTTCTGGACGTCCTGTGTTGGAAGTTGGTCCGTCTCCTGCGGTAGTTGCAGGCATGAGGGATCCAGCTGGGCGCTGGCCAGCAAGCGCACGGCCAGGCAGAAGAACACGGCCGCAAAGACCTCGTGATCAATGTCTTCTGTGGCCGGTGGCACCTCCTCGGTTGCTCAGTATCCCAGGATTAAAACCGGGGTGCCCTTCTATTTTTACTTAGAGGGAACCGAATAACCCTCCCCCCACCAAAAAAAATATGAAGGGGAATAAAGGCACCAAACCCCAAACCCTAAACCCTAAACCCTAAACCCCAAACCCCAAACCCCAAACCCCAAACCCCAAACCCCAAACCCCAAACCCCAAACCCCAAACCCTAAACCCTAAACCCTAAACCCTAAACCCTAAACCTGGGCATCCTGGCCTCAAGAGAGTTTGGGAGCTGCTGGAGGGCCTCGCGCTCCGCGCGGGAGGGAAAGCTTTGCCGGAAGGCCTCCTCCTGCGCTTGCCTGGCCCTGCTGAAGGCCACCTTGGTAGGGTTTAGGGTTTAGGGTTTAGGGTTTAGGGTTTAGGGTTTAGGGTTTAGGGTTTAGGGTTTAGGGTTTAGGGTTTAGGGTTCAGGGTTCAGGGTTTAGGGTTTAGGGTTAGGGTTCTTAGGGTTCTTAGGGTTCTTAGGGTTCTGAGGGTTCTTAGGGTTCTTAGGGTTCCTAGGGTTCTTAGGGTTCCTAGGGTTCTTAGGGTTCTTAGGGTTCTTAGGGTTCTTAGGGTGCTGAGGGTTCTGAGGGTGCTGAGGGTTCTGAGGGTTCTTCGGGTTCTTAGGGTTCTTGCAGTTCTTAGGGTTTAGGGAGGGTTGCGGGTTGAGGCTCGGAAATATATTGTCATAGTGGTACCCGTTTTTTGGGGTTGGCTACTCTTATAACGGAACCTTGAACCAAACAAAAGCAGGGAAAAGGGCAGCGCTGAACTGATGAAGGCCACCAGGTGCTTGAAGAAAGCGTTTTGCCTAAGTCTCTGAGTGCCCTGGCCCAAAAAAGGTTGACCTTTCAATTCTGGTAGGATTTTATACCCCAAAAGGTTAAAGGTTATCTGAACCCTAAACCCTAAACCCCAAACCCTTAACCCTTAACCCTAAACCCTAAACCCTAAACCCTAAACCCTAAATCCTAAACCCTAAACCCTAAACCCTATCCACTCAGCTGCAGAGTTGCTGAAGCTGCTTCTCGATGATCTTCTGCTGCTGCTCCCCGCTGAGGGGCTGCAGGTTCATGATGACAAAGTCCCTGGAATAGAGGCGCTTTCCTAGGATGGCCCTTAGGGTTTAGGGTTTAGGGTTTAGGGATATTCCTGAATATGATCCTCTTAAACAGAATAAGGGAACATATAGACTGCCCCAAGGGCCTACCGAGTTTCTGATGCCCTCAGGCCGAGAAGTGACGAGCAGAGGCACACCCATCAACACCAGAGTCTTCGTCACAAACTCCTCCACAGCCAACTTCATGTTGGCCGCCTTCGCGGCAAGTCACTGCCACAGGTTTTGGGGTGCCCTCACACTATAGAGCTTGTACCGTGGTATTGAGGCTGGCGCCACCCCCCCAAACCCCAAACCCCAAACCCCAAACTCCAAACCCTAAACCCCCCCACCCATACCCCTACAGCCACCTGCCTCATCAATGCCATCCAGCATGACAATCAGGCTTCGCATCTCAAAGGCTTGCTCCAGCATGTTCCTGCCACACATTTGCAAACCCTAAACCCTAAACCCTAAACCCCTGTAATAGGGCTACTCTGCAACAGCCACGGCTCGGTCCTGGTAGGACCTTCGGGATACTCCGCCCGGATGAAGAACAGGACCAGGTTTGACGAAGTCTCGCCCTGTGATCTTTGATGGTGAGGGTTTAGGGTTTAGGGTGTAGGGTGTAGGGTTTAGGGTTTAGGGTTTAGGACCATGCATACCCACGAAGTTGACATTGGGGTGGTGTTCGTTCTGTCTTCGGGCCAAAAGGGTCCCCGATGTCAAGCAACCCCCTGCATGGACCTTCACGCGGGCCTCCATACCCGCAGGCCGTGTCCGCAGCATCCGAGCCTACAGAGCACACAAGGCGGCACACGAGGGGGTGGAGGAGGGCTCGTGTGAATGGGGGTGTCCGTAGCACTTGGTAAAGAATCGTAACACTGAAGGTAGCTACGGTGGGCCCAATGTCAAGCAACCCCCACATGACAGTTGGCATTGCAAGCCGAGTCCGCCGCCAGCTTCTGGATGGGAATGAGTAGAGGGACGAAGCGGAACCTGTGGCTCGCGCCACTTGCAGGAGACTCCAGAACTGAACCATTGGACATTGAAGCCTGCAGCCCTAAAATGACTTAAACCCCCAAGCTTGGGATGTTCCCCCTTATACTAACAGTCCTTGATGGGGATTCTCATGGGGAGGGGGGGGGGGGGGGTACTATAATCCGTATTAAGGACTGTTAGTAACCCCAAACCCTAAACCCTAAACCCTAAACCCTAAACGCCTTTGAAGCCCCTTCACTTCTTGAGCCAAGGACTTCACAGCGTTCGAAGTGCCCGGCTCTCCTCCAGCCAGCTCCTGCCAATCTCCAAGGGCGGTGTAGGGTTTAGGGTTTAGCGTTTAAGGTTTAAGGTTTAGGGTTTAGGGTTTAGGGTTTGGGGTTTGGGGTTTGGGGTTTGGGGTTTGGGGTTTGGGGTTTGGGGTTTGGGGTTTGGGGTTTGGGGTTTGGGGTTTGGGGTTTGGGGTCGTATCCTGGGCCAGAGCCCTGCCACAACCACCAAAGAAAAGACGCCCACTGCGCTGCAAACCCTTAAAACCCCAAGCTCCTCAATTCCTCCCCTAAACCCTAAACCCTAAACCCTAAACCCTAAACCCTAAACCCTAAACCCTAAACCCTAAACCCTAAACCCTAAACCCTAAACACCCTACCCCCACTCCTGGGCCAACAAGAGCAGCAGCTGCTGCATGGACCAGGTCCTTAGGCCCATTCTGCGGCGGTCCGACTGCAGAAATGCGAGGATGCTGTTCAAAGGGCACCCATGCATGGTACCTGGCCCCACATTCGGGTTTAGGGTTTAGGGTTTAGGGCAAAAAAACCCTGAGTTTTCATTGGGTGCTATGGCCTTGTGCAGCAAATCTTGTCAAGGGCCAGCATCGGCGGCACGCTCTCGTTTTCATCACAAGTTGGCCAGCTGGACATGGAGCGGAGAGGGAGGAGTGCCGGCGGCCTGTGATTTTCTCTGTGTGGTTTGCCTGCCTCTTTTGCTGGGGGGCCCTTGCTACTTCCAAAGTTTGGTGTCCTAAGAAGGCTGCATGCCGTGATGGCGATTTTGACACTGGAGAAGTCGTCAATGACCGGAAGCCGTCGAGCATTATAAAACCTTGAATTTACTCGTAACATTAAAAAAGTATATATATATATATACAGTTTAGTATATATATATATAGAATATTTACTAATATTAGATCTAATGTAATGTTCGAGGCAGCGGCTTCCTCGCAAGGTTTCTGGGCCCCTCCTCTTGTCGGGAGCTGCCTCTCAAAGTGGGCTGTTTTTGCTATTTTGCTGATGGCAGTACCTCGGCAAGCAATGACTACGTCCGAGGGGCTCTGTGGCGTTGATGGGACGCAGCGATGACATGCCCAGATGCGCAGAGGCAATCCTAGTTGCTTTTCTCTCCCTGGTTCTTCGGTAGGAACTCTGGCTGAACTTGCTGGTCCTGGGCGGAAGGAAACAAACCCTCCCACCCAGGCAACAGCATCACCCTTCGCTTACGCACTGCTTCGCTCTTCCAAACAGGCTGCATGCAGGCTCCCTGGAAGCCTGGCCAGGAGCATTTGTTCCGAACATTTTGTGCCTGATTCATTCAGCCTGCTTCCACGGCAGTGGCTGTCGAGAAGCTAGTGCGGCCTTTCTGGTCGGCGAGATCGGGTGCCTTCAGACGCATGCGGGCGTATAACTGGGCAGCACAGACAAGTGCTCCAGACTCGTGGCTGCAAACACCAAACAAGGAGACCCCTCACATCTTTGTCTTCTATTGGGTCCCGGAGTGCCTTGCCCGGGGCCGGCGCAACCAGCGTTTAAGCTACTCAGGGTTTGGGGTCTAGGGTTTAGGGTTTGGGGTTTAGGGTTTACGCTAAACCCTAAACCCTAAACGCTAAACTGTCAGGTTTATAAGTTGCTATAGGGAACCTAGGAAGTTGCAACCGAGAATCTTCCCCGTTCCAGGTCCGGCTCGTATGAGCACGGGCTGGGCAGAGTGAGCGCCGTGGGATCGTCCTGCAGGGCGGCCTAAAACCCCTAAAGCCCCTAAAGCCCCTAAAGCCCCGAAAGACCCTAAACCCTAAAGCCCCTAAACCCTAAACCCTAATAAACCCTAAACTCTTAGAAACCCTAAACTCTTATAAACCCTAAACTCTTGTAAACCCTAAACTCTAAAGACCCTAAAGCCCTCGAAAGCCCTCGAAAGCCCTCTTCAGAGCTCTAAAGCCAGGTTCAGGGTTTTGGCTGAAGCCTTCTCAGGGTTTAGGGTTTAGGGTTTATATATAGGGTTTGTAAGGTTGCGGGTTTAGGGTTTATAGGGTTTGTAAGGTTTAGGGTTTAGGGTTTATAGGGTTTGTAAGGTTTAGGTTTTAGGGTTTGTAAGGTTTAGGGTTTAGGTCTGCGGATTGAGGGGTGCCCTAAATCCTAGACCCATCTTCTAAGTGACCGACGGAGCCCTGGCGTTCTCCAGGGCAAGATTTGGGGCTACTATGTAGATAGGGTTTAGGTTTCAGGGTTCAGGGTTGAGGGTTTGGGGTTCAGGGTTTAAGGCTTAAGGTTTAGGGTTTAGGGGTATAAGGACCTGGAAAGGGATAATTGCTGAAGGTGACATAGGGCAGCAGGATTACCGGGTTCACTGCCATGATGTCTCAGGCTAGCTACCCCAAAGCCAACAAAAAGCAAAACCCCTAAGATAGGGTTTAGGGTTTAGGGTTTAGGGTTTAGGTTTTAGGGTTTAGGGTTTAGGGTTTAGGGTTTAGGGTTTAGGGTTTAGGGTTTAGGGTTTAGGGCTTGGGGCTCAGGGCTTAGGGCTAGGGCTTGGGGAGGCCAGCCTTGAACGACACGGCTGGGGTGCAGCAGGAGTGGGATCATCTCGGAGATGTCCCTGACCTCTCAGTGGAGGGGGGGGGGGGGGGGGGGGGGGGGCGCAACACTTTAGGGTTTAGGGTTTAGGGCACTAAAGCTTACGGGGTCCCGTAATATACGGGCCTGAATAATTAGAACAGGGTATGGGGGCTTCATTATAGTACATTGTACAAGGACCATAAGGGAATACTAGTAAAAATTATTCCGACCCCTATATATATTGCTCAGAACATGCCGGCGCTGAGTGCACATGGATTCCTGGACGGAACGGCCAACAGAATGATCTGTTCAAGTGTCTTCTATGAAGATAAGGAAACAACGAAGCAAGCATGAAAGGGACCCAACCATTTTTACAATAAGGTTTACCTGTGTGGCACTGCTTGGCTTCAAAACCCTACACCCTAAACCCTAAGCCCTAAACCCTAAACTCTGAACCCGAAACCCTAAACCCTAAACCCGAAGGGGGGGCGGGCCTGCTCGAACGACGAGTTCTGCACCTCGCCAGATTGAGGCTCTGTAAGGTTTAGGGCTTATAGGGTTTGCAGGGTTAGGGCTTATAGGGTTTAGGGTTTAGGGTTTAGGGTTTAGGGTTTAGGGTTTAGGGTTTAGGGTTTAGGGTTTAAGGTTTAGGGGTTTAGGGGTTTAGGGTTTAGACGGTCACATGCACGAGCAGCGCCCCAACTGTAGGCACATAGATGTACATCTGACCAATGGAAGGAGAGTAGGGGTTAGGGGGTGGGGGCGGGGGAGGGGGGGAAGGAGGACGTATTACTCCGTGTATCTAAGGGCGCCACATGAAGCTAGGCGGCTGGTGTTTCTTCATTGGCTTTTGTCTGCAGATGTTGCCCCTAAACCCTGAACCCTATGAACCCTGTGAAGCCTGTGAACCCTAAACCCTTAAACCCTAAACCCTAAACCCTAAACCCGAAACCCTAAACCCTGAACCCTAAACCCTATGAAGCCCATGAGGCCCATGAACCCTTTGAAGCCTGTGAACCCTATAAGCCAACCTTTTGAACCCAATGAACCCTCGACACCCTAAACCCTACAAACGCTAACCCCTGTGAACCCTAAACCCCAACCCCCCCCCCCCCCCTCTACCCTAAGCCCTATAAATGAAACCCTAAACCCTAAACCCTAAACCCTAAACCCTAAACCCTAAACCCTAAACCCCGAATTCTTTTCCCCTAACTTCGTGAGTCCAAGGTTCTCCAGCGATGGGGCGGGCCCGCTTGATGGAGCTGGCCGGCCTTAGGTTCCCCCAAACCCTAAACCCTAAACCCTAAACCCTAAACCCTAAACCCTAAACCCTAGACCCTAAACCCTAAAACCTAAACCCTAAACCCTAAACCCTAACCCTTAAACCCTAAACCCTGATAATATCAAACACCACACCTTCATGGCTACCCTAAGGGCCCAAGACCCCACTATTTAAGGCCTTTTACTTGTTTTGGGGCCCAAAGGCCTTCTTATTCGGGGTCTTTGGGCCCTTAGGGCTAGGGGTTTAGGGTGCAGTGTAGTCAGAATGAAGGATGGCAAAGAAGGAGAAGGGCCCATGACCGAGTTTCTTGTTTTTTTTTTCTTGTTTGTGGGGGGGGGGGGGGGGGGGGGGCGCTTGAAGGTCCGTAGATCGGTAGAGTAGAAGGTATATGGCATAAGCCAAGCTGGAAACCAAAGTTCTATAGTCGGACTTAAAACTCTACTTACAAGCAGGCATGGACCTTCTGAGGTTGAGGGGCTTCTTCAGGGCTTCCGCTTGGGTGCTTACGGGAAGAGTGTCTGGTACCGACTTCCCCGCAAACCTGTCAACCCAGAGCCGGGCAGATCCTGCCTAACCCCAATCTCTTGCGTTTTAGGGCTTAGGGCTCAGGGTTTAGGGTTTAGGCCTGAACCTCCGGAAGATGGATGGTGCGACGTGGGGGAGGGGGTTGGGCACCAATGTCAACCCACAACCCTGGCTTTGGCCGTCACAGACCCTAGGCGAGGTTGGCCCGGTACGTTCTCCCATATTTCTGGCCTGCTGAAACCCAAATGAAGGAAAAAATGGGACTTCCGAAACCCAAAATGAAGGAAGATGAGACTTCCCCCGAAGGGTCCTGTTCGGCAAGGTCCTGCGTGAAGTCTTGCGCCGGGGTGCAGTGCCGGCGACGACGTCCCATCGGCGAACTTGACGACGTATCCTAGTTTTCAGATTCATGAGCTTCTGGGGCGCAGGTTCTTCCAAAATTTATTCTAAGCTTCAACAAAAAACCCTGCACAACCTCCCTGCGTTGCCTCTTAGGGTTCTGGCACAGCCCTAAGCCCCGAAGCTCGAAACCTTTAAAACTTTATACCTTTAAGGCTATAAGCCCCCAAGCCCCTAAACCTCTGAACCCTTAAATCCTGAAACCCCTGAGTCATAAGGTTGCCATACTGCATAAAAAATCACAGCCTGAAAATATCCATGAACCTTCAAGTAGCCGCTGTAGGACAGCAATCCTGCTGACACACTAAGGTTTCCAGTCTGGGCTTTTTGGAGTTTAGGGATGGGGATCTTTCACGCCCAGCATCGGCCGTGCTTCTGAAGATGCTCGACGGTGCCCTGCGAGAGCCAACCCTAAACCCTAAACCCTAAGCCCTAAGCCCTAAGCCCTAAACCCTAAGCCCTAAGCCCTAAGCCCTAAACCCTAAACCCTAAACCCATGGAACATGGAAGGGCAGAAGACGAAGATGTCAGCATCACCACAGCACGAACAACACACCGCAACAGCCGACGCAAGGCAGCGCTTCTAGTTGCACGGCATCATACCTGAAACCCTACGAAGAAAAAGCCTTGTAGTGACAATAATATGCACAATCACACTATCAACGTGAAAATAATGGTAATAATAATACTAATAACAAAATATAACAACAATATTTATGATAACAATAGTAATAATAGCAATGTTAATCATACTAATCACGAACCCAAGATCTGCCATGGAACCCGGCTGCCTCGCGGCCTTGCGCCCACACGCGATCTCCGAGGTGAAAAGAAGTGTCTGAGATCCATTCCAGGTCGTCGAAAGCCATGTGCCTCTAAGCTTTTGGGGTTCCGAGCTCCCTACATGTTGCAGCTGCAAACGTAACAAATTACAACACCTATAGGTCACCTATGTAACTATAACCCTAAACTCTAAACCCTGAACCCTACCCCAAACCCTCAACCGTAGCCCTCCTCCACAGGCGCCCAAGCCAGCCCTCAAACAATCCCTAAACACTAAACCCTAAACCCTAGACCCTAAACCCTAAACCCGACAAGACCACCTCTCAAGCGTCCAGGGCCGGGCCTGATGCTGTCCGGATCGGGCAGCTTTCGCACCTGACTTGGGGGCTTCCGTAAGGTTTAAGGTTTAGGGTTTATAGGTTTATAGGGTTTAGGTACCTTGTTCGAGTCTGAATTATAAGGGAATCCTACTATTTGGGGAAGATATTGGGGGTCCCCTAAATCCCCCACTCAGGTTTGGCCTTTGGGGTTTGTTTGCTGAGGGTTTGGAGTTTTGGGCTTTGGGTTTTTTTTTTTTTTGGGGGGGGGGGGGGTGAGGCATGGAAACTCGAAGATGCTGTTTCAAATCAAGCAAGTCATGGAGAGGACTTGATCTGCGAGTGGCTGGTGGATCACTCGTCTCTCAGAGAACATGTGTTCACAAACAGAGCCGCTGTCTGGGGTTTATTGGATTAACTTAATTGAGCTCAAGTCATGGAGACCATAAACTGGGAGGACCTCCATTTGCACCCGCACAATCTGCTCGGAAATGTCCACGCCTTGGAAAAAAAGGCTTAAGCTGAAAGCAGGTGCAGGACAATGAAACCGAAGCCACTGATTCGTGGCGGTGGGGGGGGGGGGGGGAACGAACAAAAGGAACACATCTGTTCTAAGCTCCAGCAAGGCTCCGAGAGATACAAACCCGGGAAATCGCAGCAATGGCAATGCAACTAACTGCCAATGAGCTGCGGTTGCCTGTAATCGCATCCTCTATATACCGCCCGTCCTGTCCGCATTCTGGTTCGGGCCGCAGGCTACCCTACAACCTTCTAAAACCCTACCCAGCCCCGATGAACTCTCATAAGCCCGAAACGACCCCAATTACCCTAGCAAAGCCGACGGAACCTTTCAAAATTCAGTAGCCTTCCAAACAAGCCAAAGACACCTCAAGAAACATCCCGACTTGATCACTCAGTCCTCCACTACCTGCTTGCAGTACCTGACCGGGAATGCCAAGGCAACTGCAATCCAGGGGCTGGCAGGCAACCTTTAACCGTGCATCTGAGGTCAGACTGACAACAAAAAGTTTACGAAGAGAAGGGGCCCTAAACTAGACCCCCCAAAATCGTAGGATTCCCTGATAATCAGGACCCGAATAAGGCACCCCTAATTTCGGAAACCCCCACCCTAAACGATAAACCCTAAACCCTAAACCCTAAACCCTAAACCCTAAACCCTAAACCCTAAACTCACTGACCCTCAAAGACTCAACGGTGGGATGGACTCCGCGACCAGGCCGCGCGATCCGGGCTTCTTCGAACTCGCGGAGGCTTGCGAAGCGCAGCAGGCTGTGATTCATTTCCTCAGCTTTGAGTCGGGACACCCTGAAACCCTAAACTCTAAAACCCTAAACCCTAAACCCTAAACCCTAAAACTCTAAAACCATGCAACCTAAGGGGTTTTGGCCTGCTGTCTGCTGCCCAACACATCAGCAATCCGACTTGGGGGTTTACGAAAACAGGGACGCCTAAAATGGACCCCCAAAATAGTATAGGACCCTAAACCCTGAACCCTGAACCCTAAACCCTAAACCCTAAACCCCTTTGCGCCGTCCGAGGTACATTCAAGTCGACCTCGAGCTCCTGCAGGATGCTTCTTCAAATAGGGTTTAGGGTTTAGGGTTTAGGGTTTAGGGTTTAGGGTTTAGGGTTTAGGGTTTAGGGTTTAGGGTTTAGGGTTTAGGGTTTAGGGTTTAGGTGATAAGGGCCGGTGGCCTCTTTATCTGCTACCCTTATACCTCAATATAGCCCCTAGCTACCGTACTAAGAACCCTGCATAGATGCCCTGTAAAACAGAAACTCTACTTAAAGAGACCACCAACCCAAATAAGGTTTAGGGTTTAGGGTTTAGGGTTATCTGCTTCAGCCCATTTGGGGGGCTTACGATATTAGGGGTGCCCTATTGGGGGTCCGTATTATCAGGGGATTCTACTATTTGGGGTCTCTATTATGGTGCCTGATTCTCGTAAACCCTTAAAACGGGGGTTCGAGCGCTGGAGCCTGCTGACAGGTTCGGGGGTTGGAACAACAGGGGGGCGGGGGGGGGGATTTAAAAAACAGGGTGGGGGGGTGAAAAAACAAGGGGCCCCTTGACATTTTGCCATGGTCTGCCAGTCTACACTGAGCCATTCCTGCGGCAGCACACTGGGACTTTGCACCACAAGCTGAAGGCGAACGTCATGATCAGGAGAGTCAGCTGCAGCAGTGGCTTGCGCACGAGAGTGGAAGCTCTTCCCGTGTCCTCTGGAACACCGCCGGACTGGTATCGCACACCTTGCGCCAAGCTTGGAAGGACTCCAGGACGGGCTATTAGGCCCTGCAACCCTTTAAAGAGGCCCTTTATAGGGTTGATTATGGGGATCATGGGGCCTAATAGCCCATCCTGGCTCTTGCAAAGGCCTTCGAAGGGATAGTGCTAGGTACGAGGTACGTCTCCAGTTTTGCCAAGTGGCGGTGGCGGCTGCCCAGGTGCCTGGTCTTAGGGTTTAGGGTTTAGGGTTTAGGGTTTAGGGTTTAGGGTTTAGGGTTCAGACCACACAAGGGTTTTTCGAACGCGAAGATGGATTGAGCCCCAAGCCTTCAAACTGCTACAGCCCAAGCCTCCCTAAAGCCGGTGAACCCTCAACCCTGAAAAGATGGTGTGGGGGTATACGATATTCGGGGTACCTTTATTGGGGTCCTTTCTTATCAGGTGATCCTACTATTTGCAGGTCTAATTTAGGAATCCCCTGTTCTTGCAAAATCCCCGTGTCGCTGCCTGCCCATGTAGGCCAGGACTTCGGCCTGGACAAGGTTTTCCTCGTCGTAGAGCAGCAGTACCGGGCAGCCTTTGCGGGCGTAGGGTTTAGGGTTTAGGGTTTAGGGTTTCGGGTTTACGGTTTAGGGCTTAGGGTTTATAGGGTTTAGGTTGGAAGTCACAGGCGTCGCAGGGAGCAAGCATTCAGACGTGGGCTCCCCATGCAGATCGTGTATACAACCCAGGCACGCTTTAACCCAACCTCGAAACCCCATGCCCTCCACTCCCACTGCAGAGGCAATGAGGCTTGCACCAGCTGGTCGCTCGACGGTGCTCGCCACCACAACGGTACTAGGACGAGGATCCAGTATTTCTTCCTGGAGCGCCCCAGTTGACCGTTGAAGCAACATATCTGCCCAGCTGGGTCTCGAGAGTGGGGAATCCCGAAACAAACCCCAACCAAAGTTTAACCATTTAATGCTTGCTGTAGGAAATCCTGGAAGTGGGTACCCCATATTGTGGGAAATGAGGGCGCCAGGAAGGGTACCAGTTGGGATTTGCGTCCACAGCTGCAAGGCCCCAACTCTTTACACCACGCCCTTTGAGCGCCTCTCCGCCGTCCACTTTCACCAGCAGCTCCCCGGAATCTATCAAGCTCACCAACGTTGCCAGGCGGTCCTGGCGAGTTTAGGGTTTAGGGCTAGGGTTTAGGGTTCGGGTCTAGGGTTTAGGGTTGAGGGGTTTAGGGTTTATGGTTTAGGGGCCCTGGCAATGGGATGATGGGCCAGCACGAAAGTGGGAGAGCTGTCCTGGACAGAGGATGGCGAGGACAGGCCCAAACGTAAGCCGGGCTCAGAGGCGACATATGCCAGCCTCTGAAAGCTCCAACACTCATCTGAAACTGTTCCAACGTCATGAAGCTCCCTAACCCTAAACCCTAAACCCTAAACCCTAAACCCTAAACCCTAAACCCTAAACCCTAAACCCCAAACCCCAAACCCTAACCCCACACGCCGGCCAACTCAGAAGGGCCTGGTTGGCTTGATTCTCAGCCTCACGGTGGACATTCGCTTCCTGGAACGTCACGAGCAGCTGAAGGACTTAGGATGCACCAGGATCGGCTATTCGACCTTAGAACCCTCAGAAAAGGGCGTTTACAGGGCTGTTTATGTGGGTTCTAGTAGACCTTAGAACCCTTAAACAGGGGCCTTCTTGGGGCTGTTTATGGGGGTTATCGGGCCTTTATGGGGCTGTTTATGCGGGCTATAGACCTTAGAATCCTCAAACAAGGGCCCGTATGGGGCTGTTTATGGGGTTAAAAGGACCTAATAGGATTTAGGATGCACCAGGATTGGCTACTAGACCTCATAACTTACATGGGCTGATGGTCTCTTTAGGTAGGGTTTCTGTTTTATAGGGGATTCTAGACCTTACAACCCTTAAAAAAGGGGCCTTATAGGGCTGTTTATGGGGATTCTAGCGCCAGTAGACCTTATAACCCATAAAAAAGGGCCTTTATAGGGCTGTTTATGGGTTTATGGGTTTCGGGTTTAGGGTTTAGGGTTTGGGGTTCAGGGTTTAGGGATTATGAGGGTTACAGGGCCCAATAGCCCATCCTGAGACCACTCTTTGCTGGGATGCCTTGCATGCTCCAACGTTTCGCCCACTCTGCGGAGGAGGATTTGCACCTTGGCACGCGATGCATGCGCATAGGCCTTACTTGGAGGTTCATGGGCACTTAGAACCCCAAGTTTATCTGTACTTGTAACCTACTTAGAGGACTTAGGGGGCTTATAAGTGCAGCTAGAATTGGGGTTCTAAGTACCCATGAACCTCCAAGTAAGACTCAACAATACTCAACATAAACGAAGTTCGGTGCTGAGATGTTGCGCGGTGCACATGCTGTCTGCGTCGAGGATGCCCTCAGACTCCTGTGATCAGGCATGCAACGTCTAAATGTTGAGAGAACGGACTTGCAATAAAATAGGGGTCCTAATAATTAGAACAGGGTTTTGGGGTTTATTCTGTTATATTTATAAAGGGCTAGAAGGGAATACTACTAGTATGTACTCCGACCCCTATAATATAGGTTCGCACTAGTTGCGCCTGCACGCCCCCAGCCCTGATGTGATCAGCACCCATATTCCGCCGCTCAATCAAGTAGTTTGTCTCGTGGCTGATGCATCTGCCTCAGAGGATTTGTTGGGCTGAGGGTTCGGAGCCCGTGCCCGTCCTGCCAGCCCGTCTCTGCCCAGTCCATGCGTGCGTCGAAGCCATCCTTATCCGTCTTCGTCGTCCTCGCCGGCATGCCCAAACTCTAACCCCCCCCCCCCCCCCATCCCCTTGCAAAGCAGTCTAAATGCGCCTAGCAGCCTATCCTAAGCTCCTATGAACTCAACCCCTCCACCATGAAGCCTCCCTAGCGCCTCCCGAAACCCAAGTTCCAAAAACCCAGGAATCAACCAAAAGACACATGGGCGGCCGTCCTGGCGTCGTCTGAGGTGAGGAGCTCCCCAAGATACCGGGCCTCCTCAGTGCCCAGTGACCCGTCCTCGGCTGGAGGCGTGGGGTTCAATTTTCATCCCGGGCTAGAACTAGAGCTGCTATTCGCGCCCTGCCGCGCCGGTGAAAACCCAAATCCCGTGCTCTTCCAATGTATCCTTGCTGCCTTCACCCGCAACACGAGCACAAGGGTGTAGTGTAACCTGACCTATAACCTATAACCACCCGATAAAACTACATGCAACTACGCATGAGACCTTCAAGGAGGACCTTTTTTTAGTCTGGATTTGCTTAGCTGCGAGACTTTGGAGGGGATGTTTCTAGGGATCCTTGGCTTTGCCTTCGTGGGCCATGGCCGCCGAGATTCCACCAAGTGAATTGGCCCGATCATGTCCCCAGCAATGTCGGAGAGGATGCCTGGAAGTCCCCGGTCTCCGGGTTAGGGTTTAGGGTTTAGGATTTAGGGTTTAGGGTTTAGGGTTTCGGGTTTAGGGCTTAGGGTCTCTCCCACATGCAGTAAGAGGCCCCAAAAGACATTGACGCGGAGAGCTTCTTATGGGGGTTTCCGAAATTAGGGGCACCCTTTTGGGGTCCTTATTATAAGGGAATCCTACTACTTAAGAATTCCATTTTAGGTATCCTTATTAAAAGGGAATCCTACTACTTGGGGGTCAATTTTGTGCGTCCCCTATTTTCGTAAACCCACTTTATAGCTGCCTCATGCCGACCCAACATCTACGCACATTCCCCTGCGTAGAAGCTGAGGCAACACCGTAAGGATCCATGTACCTCTATAGTATATACTTCGGCCCTAACGGGGTTCCTACACAGAAGCATTGGGGCCCCAAGTATATACTACTAGACCCAGGAGTAGCCAGGAATGAAAAAGGGGTACCCCTTTTTTGGTTTGCAGGGGGATTATACGGGAACCCCAACCCTAAAAAAGGAAATAAGGGCCTACTCCGGGTCCTAGAAGTACAGACTATACCCTAAACCCTAAACCCTAAACCCCAAACCCTAAACCCTGAACCCCCTTAAGCCCCAAGTGTATACGAAGGTACATGGATCCTTAGGGACATAAAGCATCGGGCGCACCCTTCACGTTGAAGATGAAGGCGCCCTCCCACCTTCGGCTCAGGTCTGACCACCAAGGCAACCCTAAACCCTAAACCCTAAACCCTAAACCCTAAACCCTAAACCCTAAACCCTAAACCCTGAACCCTAAACCCTAAACGACCTCTCCTGGGCCCGAGATGGTGAAGATGAGTTCGTGGACTTCTACGGGGTGGAACCAGGTCTCCTACATGGGTTCCTGGTATCTCAAACTACTTCCCGTTCCAAGTACGTTTGGGCAGGTGTAGGGTTTAGGGTTTAGGGTTTAGGGTTTAGGGTTTAGGGTTTAGGGTTTAGGGTTTAGGGTTTAGGGTTTAGGGTTTAGGGTTTAGGGTTTAGGGTTAAGGTTTAGGGTTTAGGGTTTAGGGTTTAGGGTTTAGGGCTTAGGGCTTAGGGTTTGGGGTTTGGGGTTTGGGGCTTGGGGTTTTAGAGGCTTTGAAAGTGCTGAAAGAGGGCATCTAGCAGTCAGCTGCAGTGGCCTGAAGAGCAGCCTCAAACCAGGTTTTCCTCGCAACGCCTCGGCACCGGAAGCAGTTCTCCAAACGATGGTGAAAGCCTAAGCCCTAGACACACGAAACCCTAAACCCTGAACCCCAACCCCTAAACCCGAAACCCTAAACCCGAAACCGCATCGTGACAGGGAACCCCAAAGAAACCCTAATTTAGAGGACTCTGCCTCTGCTATGTCCTCTTGGGGAGTCCTTGGTGGAGCCCCATGTGAACCCTAAACTTGCCCCATACCCTGCACCCCAAACCCTAAACCCGAAATCCGACACCCTAAGCCCTATACACCTAAACCCTGAACCCTGAACCCTAAACCCTGAACCCTGAACCCTGAACTTCCCTGAGCCCTTATTCAAGGCCTGGCGTTTGAGCTGCAGTTGCTCTGCCTCGTCTTGCGCCTGCGCTGGCATACGAATGGCTGGTCTGGGTAGTAGGGTTTTTGGGCCAACGGGGTTTAGGGTTTAGGGCTTAGGGTCTTAGGATTTAGGGTCTTAGGGTTTTGGGTCTTAGGGTTTAGGGTCTTAGGGTGTAATTAGGGCCTTAAGGTTCAAATCTCATGGGCTTGGTCTTCTTGATAACCCCTGACGTTGATTCTGAAGCTTGATCTGGAGGGGTTCATGACTTCCTTTGTCTGCTGCGCAGGAGGGGTTGGGGGGGGGGGGGGGGGGGGGGGGGTTGGGGATCGTGCAAATTAAAGAGCTTATAAGTACTAGGTCAGCGTCGTGCGGAACACATTTACAGTACGGCTTCGAAGTGGGCCCTGGACCCTACTTTCAGGTTCATGCGTAGCTATAAGTGGGGTTACAAGTACCCTACAATATGGTGATAAGTAAAGGTACCATACTTATAACCCTACTTAGAATTCCCCTAAACCCTAAACCCTACACTCTAAACCCTAAACCCGCAACCCTAAACCTCAAAGTAAACCCCTAGAGCCTCTGCCAGGTGTGAGAGGGCCGGTGGAAGCGAGTGGGCGAAGGACCATCTTCGCCAGGTCCTGCCAAAAACTTGGCCTACTTGGAGGTTCATGGTACTTAGTAGGGCTGAGGGTTTAGGGCTTAGGGCTTAGGGTTTAGGAACCCAATTATCCCAATGTACTGATAACCCACTTATCACCATGTTGGGGTACTTAAGGGGCTTATAAGTGGGGTATAACTACAGTTATAATTGGGTCATAAGTACCATGAACCTCCAAGTAGGGTTTACCTGAGACTCTATTTACCTACAGTTTAGTAGGCATAGCCCTGAAGTAGTAGGTACAACCCCATACAACTGTAGGTAAAGAGGGTCCCGGGTAGGGTTTCTAGGGTCACTTGCAGGGTAAGCAACAGGGTGCCGGTTGTTGGTTTAGGGTTTAGGGCTACGTCAACTGGAGCCGCGCGCAAGAGAACAGAGCATGGATATTTCAAGGCGCAGAAGGCTGAAGCCCTAAACCCCAAGCCCTGCAGGAAAAAGGCTCGGGTCCTGGTCATGTCTGCTTCTTCGCCGACCATGTTCGGCAAGTGCATGTGCACCTCGTCCATGGTATGTTCCACGGGTTTTGGGGGCTCAGAGGGCCAAAAAACTGCGCATGTAAGCGATGTACCGAAATTTCATTCTCGGGACCGCCGATTGAGTTCGAGATCTACACTGTCATATTCTCAGAACTACTGAAGCTCCCTGGGTTTAGCTGGGATCTCTTACCCTAGACCCTTAACCCCGAACTCCAGACCCTATTCCGGAACTCTGCTCGATGGCCTCGCAGGAAGGGGCCTGGTAGCGCCCCGGTTTCACCAGGATATGGCTGGCCGAGACCTAGGCCCACTCACTCAGCACCCTTAAGTGGCTAAGGTGCACGCTGGGGGGTTTATGATGTGAGGGGTACCTTATTGGGTCCTTCTTATAAGGGAATCTTACTATTTGGGGGTCTATTTTGGGGGTCCCCGATTTTTGTAATCCCCCGCTTGTGTTGCAAAGGGTTTAGGGTTGTTAGGGCTTCTGGTGGGGTGATTTTGATGTACAATATTGTGCTTAGGGGTTGGCCTGGCGGCAGAACTTTGGCTAAAGCAACTGAATGACTGAATGAAATTTTGCAGTCTGACGTCTTCGTTTTCCCAAAGCCCCAAGCCCTTGCATTGATTGAGCTCGAGCCCCAAACCCTGAACCCCCCAAGCCCTCAAACCCCTTCTTGGCCGAGTATCCGTGGTGGAGAGGATGCCCCTGCTCTTCTTCCTTGAAGGAGAATGAGCACAGCAGAGTAGCTACCGCAACCAGGACGGATTTTGGGGTGGTCTCATGATAGGCTACGCAGGGTTTTCTGCTATGCAGGGTTTATGGTTCAGTGTGTTGATGGTGAGAGGCTTTATGGGTTTGGCCTTCAAGGTTTCAGCGTGTAGGGGCTTTATTGGGGATTTGGGTCCACGCCAGCAAAGAGGCGCCATGTCAGTTCTCTGAATTCAGGTCCCGTTGTGGGGGGGTATCGAAAGACGAGAGGGCTGCATCATAGCACAGAGAAGGCAAGGGATCATGATGTAGAGACCTGACCAGTTAGGGCTTCGGGTTTAGGGTTGACTTCCTTGCTAGGTGTTTCCAGTAGCGACTTGGGGTTTAGGAGTTTGTCCTTCCAAAACAAGGTCTGCATCGCATCTTATTACATATGAGGCACCCAAACTGAGGGCCCCTTTTGGGCCACCTGCTACATTTCGGGCCTGTACATTTTCTGAAAGGACTGTTGTGGCATGGGCGTCCCCCAAAATCCCTTTGCAGAAATGTAGGAGATCTACTTTACCCCCGCAGAAGCAGACTCTGATTTGGAACCACCTCTCACGTCGACACGGCGTCTGCCCTAAACCCTAAACCGCAAACCCTAAACCCTAGACCCTCCCCCCCACCCCACTCATCCAGCCTCGCCATGAGGAGGTGGAAGCCAGCATCGGTTTGAATCTCAGGCGCCGTGATTCATCAAAATGCACCAAATCCAAAATACCAGGAAGCCCTGATCCACCCCGTCCTAAAAGCTCCGACAAAAACCCATGGGTTTCGGCTGCCGCTTCCATAGAGACTCCCTAGAAGCCCTAAAGCCGTCCCGTCTCTGAACTCTTTATAACGACCCTGAGGCCCGAAACGCCCGAAACCCTTCATGAACCCCAGACCCAAAAACAAAACGATAGAAACCCTATAAGCCTGAACCCTAAACCCCTGCAAGCCCTAGACGCTAAACCCTGTAAATGACGTAAACCCCATAACGCCCTGGGAACCTGTAGGCCCCATAAACCCTCAGCCCCTCTACAGACCCCGATCTCTTAAACCCTAAACCCTAAACCCTAAACCCTAAACCCTAAACCCTAAAGTAGCAACCCGGGCCCGGGCCGGCCCCAAGGGACATCCGAGTTCCAGCTCGGGGTCAAAGAGCGCCGCCTGCGCAGGTTGGTATCTAGGGTTTAGGGTTTAGGGTGGGGGGTTTAGGGTCTTGGGGCATTAGGGTTTTGGGGTTTTTGGTCTGGGGTTTAGGGCTTACAGCCGGGGTTTTGCGTCCGTTCAGGTTAGGTCCAAGATGTAGGTGAGAGCTTTGCATGGCTTTGCTATTTGCCAGGCTTCTGTTGGAGAGGGTTTAAAGGGTTTTAAAGAATTTAAAAGGCTTTTAAAGGGTTCTAAAGGGTTTTGGGGGGGTTTAGGGTTTAGGGTTAGGGTTCAGGGCTTAGGGTTTCGCAGGGCTTCACCGTTCCAAGACTGTCCTCGATGGCGCTGTGCATCTGGCCGCGCTCGACCTGCGCAGGGACTCGGGTTGTTGGAGGTAGGGTTTAGGGATTGGGGATTGGGGATTGGGGATTAGGGTTTAGGGATGTTTAGGGTTTAGGGATGTTTAGGGCTTATTAGGGTTTAAAAAACCTTTTTTGGGGTAACCGAAACAAAGAAGAATGTGCTACATTAATACGGCCCCCCTATACTTTTTTTTGGGGGGATAACCGAAGCAAAGGAAAAAATCTGCTTGTAAGGACATAACCCCCAAAAGATCCCCTTAGTTTGGATCAACCCTCAATGTGATGGCGCCTGCCCCTCGAAAGCCCTCACACCCACGAAGTTACGGTCTCTTGCTCCCTTTTGCCCCTCTTAGAGTATGGGTTTAGGGTTTAGGGTTTATGTAGGGTTTAGGGTTTAGGGTTTAGGGTTTAGGGTTTAGGGTTTAGGGTTTAGGGTTTAGGGTTTATGTCCCCATACACTCAAGGCACCCAACCAGGGCACAGTACCGACAAGGGAAGGACTGACTGAGAAAAAACGAGAGCACGATGAGCTCGAGCCTCGCCCAAGTCTCCGCCGTCCGCGCGCGTCCCCGGACACGCGGAGTAGCTGCGAGCGACGTTGGCAAAGTCCTGTGGGTGCTGAGGTCCACGGTTTCAGGAAAGCAGGGTTTACCCTAAGGATCCATGTACCTATGTGGTGTATACTTGGGCTTCAAAGGGGTTCCTATGTAGTAGCTTTAGGGCCCAAGTATATACCATATGGGTACATGGATCCTTAGGGTTAGGGTTTAGGGAACCCAATGCCCGTTACTTAGAGGAATCAACAGTATAAGGGTCCTTGCTTTGAACAAAGGCATCTTCCCAAATTTGCAAGGCACATTGGGTTTGCTACAGGCAGGGGATAGATAAGCAAGTAAAGCGCTTCAAAGTGTTTTCAGCTGATTTGGGGCCATGGCTTGCAGACCATGGATACTTCCACTCGGACTGGGAGCTATGGATTAAGCTCCTTTTTTTGCGGGGGTTGATCGAAATCAGGATTCCCCTTTGGGCGATTGTTGCGGTGATGTTCACCAAACCCTGAACTCTAAACCCTCAACCCTGACACCTCCCCCTGCCCTTACCCCATCCCCCCGCTCCCCCCCGGTCCTCGGGACACTGCACCGATGGTACCAACGCCCGGCAGAATTGCTCCCCGTCCAGCGGGCCCTGACAGCAACCACACAGTCCCAAAAGTTGCTCCCAAGCAGCTGCACATGACAGCAGAGGTTGTCTGGACCCAGGAGCAACCTATGAATAAAAAGGGGTACCCTTCTTGGCTTTAAGGGGCTTGTGAGGGAACCCCAGCTCCGGGTCCTTGTAGTTCAGAAAAGAGAAGATCCTCTGTTTCACCCTACCAACTCCCTCCCCCCAGGGCCTCCCTCAGCACAGCGTCATCTTCGGCATCCTAACCGGATTGAGATGTAATCAAAGGCTCCAATGTAGTTCCTTTTTTGGATTTTTTGGGTTAGTAGGGCATTCTAGTATACTACCCCAAAAGGGTACTACATAGGAGCCTTTGGATATTTGACATGGTGGAACCGAATGGTATAGCATGTGCGCTATCCCGCACGCGGCTTCAAAGTGGCGCCTCCAAGCTGTTTGCATCCTCCGCTTGAAGCTGCCAAAGCACCTCCAGCAGACATGGTGTTGACAGAGGGTTTAGGGTTTAGGGTTCTTTCGAGAATGGATCTTGAGTCAGAACGAGCTACTCGACCGCCGGTCGTCAGTTCCTAGCGTTGGGAGGCGACCCAACCTCCCACCCTGGGGGGGGTGGGCCCGGGGGGTAGCGTGTCCATCTTTTGATGCGTTCTCGCCAGGTCATCAGGCTCCGCGGCTTCCCTAATCGCGCGTAGGCTACCTCTGTGCCCGGCAGCTTCCGGCTTATCGCCACAGACCATGAGCTTAATTCGCCTCGGCTTCTGGGCGGGAGGCGTCAAGAACAAGCCAGGATCTGGTCCCTCCTAGGACCCCCTCCTACCTCCCGAATGACGCGCGTGGTGCTGCACCAAGTAACATAGGACTTGGCTTTCCTTCGTCTGCCAGCCGCCCTGCATTGAGCCAGCCGGGCTGCCAAGGCGGCGCGCGCAAGCGTTTACCATCAGCGACTTTAGGGGGCCTGGATTTCAACGGCCATAAGACATGTCGGCAAGGACATGAAGGCGTTGCTCAGCAAAAAGCGGTTCAACCCTAAACCCTAAACCCTAAACCCTAAACCCTAAACCCTAAACCCTAAACCCTAAACCCTAAACCCTAAACCCTAAACCCTAAACCCTAAACCCATGACGAATCTTTGCAGGCACACTCTCGCGCAGGCGCCTTGATGTGCTCCAGCGCGAAAGGCTCGTCGCTGCAGAATGCCGGAATGAAATAGTGATCCTAGAGGGTTTTCCTATTCAACATAAGGCTGGAATAGAGGTTTCCCATTGCTATATAGAGTCTGTTCCCAGCTCTCAGAAAAGGCATATAACAAAATACTGCCAGCGACGCCATCACTAGAGTCAGTAGGAGCAAATCCAAGAATCAGCAACCGTTAGGGCATGAACCACCAGCTCCCCATTGCCGAAAATGCGCGCCCCACCATTCATTAATCTGCAGCAGGTCGTTTGCAGGACAGCCCCTAAACCCTAAACCCTAAAGTCCTGAAGCCTAAACCCTTCAGTCCTGGCCCTTATTCACCATGAGCTCACCGGGCACGAACAAGTCGTCCCAGAGAAGGCAGAAGTCGTCACTCCTTCTTCTGAGGCCCTATACCCTATAACCCTAAACCCTGAAGACACAGCGCGGCACAGCTCCAGGACGTGTAGTATTGGGGCCTGACTAATTCGAATAGGGTTTTGGGCTATTATAGTACAGTTATCAAGGGGCCCAAAGGGAATACTACTGGTCATCATCCCGACCCCTATAACTACTTCTCAACATGAAGTCCTCATGGGCTTCATGTGGAGGAAGTGGGCAAGGTCTTGAAACTTGGCCTCGTAGAGACATCCAACAGCACGCTGAAAGTCAGCTTGGAGGTTCATGGTACTTATTAACCAATGATAACTGTACTTACAGCAAGCCCCTGAAGTGCCCCAAGATGGTTCTAAGTACAGTTATAGGTGCACTTAGAATTGGATAATAGCTTAGTTGCTGAGTTCATGCGCCCCCAAAAAGTGTACGCTTTCAGTTCTACAGGGGATTATAGCATACCAAAAGTGCAGAGTTTGCTCACTCAGCTACTAAGATTAAGTACCATGAACCTCCAAGAGGGCAACCGTAGCCTTGACGTCGTCTCTGAAAGCGACAGTGTCGTCCACGAACGCAGATGCCTTGTGGCGACGGACGTGCCTAAACCCTAAACAACCCTAAACCCTAATCCCTAAACCCTAAAACCGAAACCCTAAACCGCAAACCCTAAAAACTAACCCCTAAGCCCTGAACCGCTACCAGGGCTTCGCGCCTCCGCCAACTTCTGCGCGAGACTTTCTTGGACGGCTGGAGATGTCTGGCTTGCGAGCACGGTCTGGACGGCCTCCTGAAACATGTGCGGTTCTCTACATGATAGTCCATGTTCATAATCCATTACTAACACGGTATATAAAAAAAACAAGTAGAATATCATACAGAACCCAAAACGGCCCATCATTTTAGACATGAGGCATTCCCAGATCGGGGGATTCCCTTATGTACCCTCTACAACTCGCTCATCCTCATTATTACAGGAACCCCCACCCTGTAGGCCCTAAACCCGGAACCCTAGTTTTGGGGAACTCCTTCTGTTTTGGGGTTTGGGGTTTGGGGTTTAGGGTTTAGGGTTAGGGTTTAGGGTTTAGGGATACACGGTACCCGGCTCGAGAAGCTTCTCATGCGTTCGCGAGCCTCAGCCTGCTTCAAGCTGACCTGCAGTGCCGAAACCTGACGTGTCAGAGTGGGCGACACCTTAAGGATTAGGGCTTTTAGGAGGTACAAGGGTTTATAGGGTTTAGAGGGTTCATGTAGGGTTTCGGCTGAGAGGGTTCATGTAGGGTTTCGGCTTATGAGGGTTAAGACGCTTTGTAAAGTGCGTTTTTTTGCATAGGGTTTAGAGGCCTTAGGGTTGCGAGGCGTCAGAGATCACACGGTCCAAGAATCTCGCGTGCTCTACGACGGAACTTGTGTCGCCGAAAGGGCTGGGCTATACTGAACTTGGAACTCAAGCAGAAAATATGTTTTGCTGCTTCTTAGGAAATACAATACCCAAAAAATATTTCCAAGTACCCCTAAGTGGGGAAAATCAATAAAGCAAGACAGCCCTGACCTCCTCGTCCAGAGCCTCGATCGCCTGCAGCACCTTGGATGTCACCAACAGCAATCAGTGCTGGGATGCTTGTCCGCAATCTTGGCGCGCCCGAACCCTCAACCAGCCAAACCTTAAACCCTAAACCCGAAACCCTGAACCCCCTAAACCCCCCAAACCCCCCAAACCCCCTAAAACACCTAAACCCTCAACCCTAAACCCAAAAGGAACCCTAACTTAACAATGTCTGGCTGGATGGTGCGGCCAAGGTGCTGTCTTTGAGAGCTTGGCGGTCCCCAGGGCATCCTACGACTTCGCCAGGGGTTTAGGGGTTTTAGGGTTTTAGGGTTTTAGGGTTTTAGGGTTTTAGGGTTTTAGGGTTTTAGGGTTTTAGGTTAAGGTTTTAGGGTTTTAGGGTTTTAGGGTTTTAAGGTTTTAGGGTTTTAGGGTTTTAGGGTTTTAGGGTTTTAGGGTTTTAGGGTTTTAGGGTTTAGGGTATGGTGTTGGGGGATTTCGAGGTAGAGACTTCACGAGTCGCAGGTGCTGCAGGCTTAAGAAATGAAGCCCAGCATCGGCAGAACCCGAAACCTTAAACCCTAAACCCTAAACCCTACACCCTACACCCTACACCCTAACCCTAAACCCTAAACCCTAAACCCCTAAACCCCAAACCCTAAACCCTAAACCCTAAACATCCCCAAGCTCCAGAAGTGAGGCCCGGCCTTGGAGATGCTCCTGCCATGCCAGCTGTGTGCACTGGATCCGGGGTCACCGGGGGGGGGGGGGGGGGGGGGGGGGGGGGGGCGGGGCAAACTCTGTTTCGTAGGGTTTAGGGCTAGGGTTTAGGGTTTAGGGTTTAGGGTTTAGGGTTTGGGGTTTCGGGTTTCGGGTTTAGGGTTTAGGGGTTTAGGGTTTTAGGGGTTTAGGGGTTTAGGGGTTTAGGGCTCAATGCGACAAAACATGATGTGGCAGCTAGCTAGATAGCAATGAACAATGTGGATATGTGAACTTATGAATACTTGGTAGCCCAGTAACCACATTTTAATAAGGGCACCCTTTGTTGGGGTTGGTTACTTTATAAGGATCCTGGATCCAAAAGAAGGGTAAAGGGTACCCCTGGGCTACCAAGTGAATAAGAAGCATAACGGATAGCAGCGATTCGAGCAGTGGTCAAAAAATCGCACAGCAAGCAAATTCAGAAACAATGAATCAGAAGAATCACAACGATGACAATAACGACCATCATGTTAGCAATATACAAACAAAGCCGGACTAACCTAAACCCGAGACACAGACCCTAAACCCTAAACCCCAAGCCCCCTAAACCCCAAACCCCCTAAACCCTAAACCCTTATCCCCCTAAACCCCCTAAACCCCCTAAACCCCCTAAACCCCCTAAACCCCCTAAACCCCCTGAAACCCCCTAAACCCCCCTAATTAAACCCCCTAAACCCCCTAAACCCCCTAAACCCCCTAAACCCCCTAAACCTTAAACACTAAACCCTGAACCCTCTAAACCTTAAACACTAAACCCTGAACCCTAAACCCTAAACCCTAAACCCTAAACCCTAAACCCTAAACCTCCTCACGTTGAGGAAGCACGGGCGAAGCTCTGCGAAGAGCTGCTCCGCCTGCACCCGACAGACTGTCATGGATCCTGTCGGACACTTAGGGTTTAGGGTTTAGGGTTTAGGGTTTAGGGTTTAGGGTTTAGGGTTTAGGGCTATGGGTTCAGGGTTTAGGGAGAGCCATCCAGCGAAATCTCGCGCAAGCCTGCACTGGCATCTGCTGGCAAAACACCTGCGCAGTCCAATTTTGAAGAGGATCATGCCGATGAGACCAAAAAACCGTGAAGAAATAACACATTCAGCATCTGCTCGCAGCCTGAAGCACGAACTGTCGCAGGTCCTTGCCTTCCGTGTCCTGGATGCCTGCGTTGGGCAGCTGGAATGTTGTCTTGGCGGCTGTCAGCATGGAATTGTAGAGAAAGATGGGGTTCGTATCTTAAATATTACATGTACCTCATATATACCTGGACAACCTTGAGACATGAAAATTTCCGCAGTTTCGGGGAAAAGCGGTTTTCTGAAGAAGTTATAGAAAAAAATGCTTAGCGACGTTTCTCTAATTTTGGGGTTCTTCCATTATCTAAACCCTTCGAAGTCCTTAATCTTACGAATTGCCTGGAGAAGACACGTCAGTGGAGCGTTGCGGCAACCTAACCAGCAACCTCAAACCCTGAAACCCTAAATCCGGACCACCCTTACAGCCCAAGATCCATCGCTGCGCTGCTCCCACTTCAGCAGCACAGCGCTGCATGTTTCACCGCTTCAGAAACTTGAGGGTTGGGGGACCTACTTTAGGGTTGGGTTGGACCTACTTTAGGGTTGGGTTGGACTTATAAGCCTTCTTGGGGCAGTTTGGAGTTCAAGAGGCAGTCGCTCCTAGGTGCGCAAGTCTTTTAAATCCAGCCTGGCCGATCGATGGAATGCTTGAGTTGTCGGTGCTCGCAGACTAAGTGCGCCCCCCCTGCCCGCACAGCAAGTGCGTACGTATACTTTGAAGTTCTTATAGTACGTAATTTTCTGTGCACCCCGACACTTCCAGGTACCACGGGCCGTGGGGCGCAACATCCGCTCAGATCGAGGCGTGGTCCTTCAGGGATCCGGGACACTTGTTTTTACCTTGTTTTTGTTTTGGTTTAGGGTAAGGGTCAAGGGTCAAGGGTCAAGGGTCAAGGGTTTAGGGTTTAGGGTTTAGGGTTTATAGGGTTTAGGGTTTAGGGTTTAGGGTTTAGTGTTTAGGGTTTAGGGTTTATGGTTATGGTTTATGGTTGACTGCTGCTTTCTAGCCTTGCAAGAGAGGCAAGTTACCTGCCAAATCTACAATCCGAAGGCATTTTGTTTTTCAGTGTGAGACTTCTTGTTTGTTGCCTGTGTCAGCAGCATGGCTGACTATGGGGCAGTGGGATGCCTGGCGCGTAGGCTCGAGGAGAACGATGTTGTGCGACGTCGGTTGCTTGAGAAACCAGAACAGATCCTCACGAGGTGGATCAACCCCAAGGCTGTTGGCATTGCTTCCGTGAAAGCAATGGGAAAGAACCAGCACGCCCTCGAGTTGCTGGCTGAGTGGTGGGTTCACAACCAACCAGTGCCTAAGACAGTTCCCATCGACCGAATGCGAGAGGAGGCTGGTTTGGGCTTTGTTCTCTACACTAATTCTTGCTTCTTGGGGTGTAGGTGCGCTGTAGTTTCCCTGGGAGGTGAGCATTCTCCGGCAACACTTGGGGCTCGACGTGGACTTGCAGAGCGTGCACTTGGATGCTGCAGGCTTAAAGGTGCTCTTTTCGCACGGCGTCCGTCGTTTTGCATCCCGGGCCCAGAACCGCGCGACTTGTTTGATGAATTTCGTTTGGAGTTTGCAAGTGATTGCTTAGTGGCTTCCCGTTGCCAAGTTAAAGGATCGCTGCTTGGACAAGTTCTATGCCATCTTGGAGGGCGCGTGGACAGTGCCAGACGATGGCACGGTGCTTGGACTGCACCCGCTGCCAGGGCCTGGGGGTGCAGGCGGAGATGACGACGATGATGATCATCATCATGGTGGGGGTGCTCCACTTCTGGCCATCGAGGATGCCCCGTCGCTTGAAGTCGTGGCCATTGATGGTGAAGATGGTGTGGAGTACGCAGACCGAGCTGAGATCGAGGAACTTGAGGGCCACGAGCATGCTGAGGAGGAGGAGCAGTGCGACGACGACCCAGTGGTCGACGCAGACCACACCGGGAAGAAGGAAGAGGAGGAGGCGGTGATGTCTGTGCCAGACAAAGTGGAGCAGACGCCCTCGCCGAACACAGACTTGCCAGGTCCAACGCAGGACTCGCAGCTGGTGCGGCAGGCCTCCAGTTCCTCGATCGACACGGACTTCTCAACCCCGGAAGGCAAGCCAGGTCCGATTGTTCGCGCCCAGCCTTTGCTCACCCCCCGCAAGTTGTTTGTGGACGAGACTTTCAAGCCACCGACTCCTCTGCTTATGCCCGAAGACAGGGCCCGTGTGATCGAGCAGTTGAGGCTCGGTGCTTTGTAGGTCAAAAATTGTAGGTTGCCTGCTTCGCTAAACCCTAAACCCTAAACCCTAAACCCTAAACCCTAAACCCTAAACCCTAAACCCTAAACCCTAAACCCTAAACCCTATAAACCCTAAACCCTAAACCCTAAACCCTAAACCCTCTAGAATTTTCCTTGTCGCAGGTTGGAGATGCAGAGGCGCGCTGCGGCAGCGAAGGTGCCGGCGCCAGCTGGTCCGGCAGTTAGTTGCTGGCTATGTGTTAACAATATTTTGAAACAGTTTCTATCTGTGCTATACGACAAGCTGCGAGCAGCAAGCGCACACTCTTTAGGCCCGGATGAGATGGAGACATTGGTGCCGGAGAGCCCAAGTTGGCTGAAGTCCGGGGAGTCGGGTTCAGTGGCCTCAAGCCCCAAGAGCTTGGAGGAAGCAACAGGCCCGATGATCAGCAGCCCATCGTATGCTCCCTCGCCGGATGTCAAGGGTCAAGAGGGCATGAACACGGAGGAGGTCTCGACGGTTCCTTCGCTAATTCGGTAACAATGGTAATAAACATCCTTGATGACGGGCCTATCTAAAGGTTTCAAGCATGGAATTGCTGAGGACGCGTATGGTGTCGAGGCGCAGCCTCCCTTGGTGTTGCGTTCGCAGCAACGCCAAGCGGCAGAAGGGCCTAAGAAGACGCCGAATGACGAAAGCTCCGAGGAACCCGACAAGAAGCGCAAGCCCAAAGCGAAGGCCAAAGCGAAGGGCAAGGCAGCGGCAAAGGCTAAGGCCGTTGCCAAGTCAAAGACGAAGGCCAAGGCCAAAGCCGCGGCCAAAGAGGAGCAGATGACTGACGAGAAGAGCGTTGCAGATGATGTGGAAATGATCCCTGAGTCCACCGAGGAGGACGAGATCGATGATGACTTGCTGGCCGAGGGCTCCCAGGCTATGAAGCGACCAGCAGCCAAGGCCGCAGCCAAGGCCAAGGGTGGGAAGAAGTCGGTGCCAACGGCAAAAGCCAAGGCGAACTCCAAGAATGGGAAGCAGTCGGTAGGCCAAGGTGAAGGCCAATGCTGGCAAGCGCAAGCTGGTCCCGGATTCGGAGCGCACCACCTTCGCAGGCAGACGTTGCCCAGAGGGAGAGCCAGCCAAGAGCAGGTTCCGCGCAATCATGAAGATGTACTTTGAGATTGTGGGCCCCAACGTCCACTCGCCTTCCCAGTATGAGGCTGTCAGGGTTTTTTGGGTTTAGGGCTTAGGCTTTATAGGGTTTAGGGTTGAGGGTTTAGGTTAAACCCTAAGCCCTAAACCTTAAACCCTAAACCCTAAACCCTAAACCCTAACCCTAAACCCTAAACCCTAAACCCTAAACCCTAAACCCTAAACCCTAAACCCTAAACCCTAAACCCTAAACCCTAAACCCCTCCAGGCCAGGATGAATAGAAATTGTATGTGTTTCGTTGTTGTGAGCAGCTCGTACGATAATCCTTCGTCCTTGACAGTGCAAAAATGGCCCTCAGGCCCAGCCCCAAGCCCCTCAGCCAGCGCTTAGCCCTTCACCAACCCCTCCAGCATGAAACTTGATTTGTAGCCCAAACCTCAAAAATGCAACTTGGGCCCACCCCCTCAGCCCCAGCCCCTCTGCCCCCGCCCCACCCCCCACACCCCCCCTAGCAGCAGGCGGCCTCCTTGTGAAGCCTCCTCCTCCTCACCCCCACCTTTTCTTTTGCAAGTTTGGCACCTCCTCCTCAGCCTTAGCCCCTCAGCTCCAGCCCCTCGGCCCCAGCCCCTCGCTCGACTGAAAAAAAAAAACCCTCCAAAACCCCCGGACCCAAACCCTATACAATTTCTATAAACCCTAAACTTTAAACCCTGCAGGAAGAGTTTTGGAACTCGGCCTTCCCCAAGCTCCGGGTCGAGAAGGGCAAGAGCTCGAAGTACGAGAAGATGGCCACAAAGATTGCCCACGATTTCTTGCAGACCCGACCCTTACTCTGAACTAGAATCGTTTGATAAATCCTGGGCCTTGAAGTCTGTAGTTCAATGCTTTCCCGAAACCCTAAGCCCTGTCACCAAGGCGAGGCGCTTCGTCGCTCTGACTCGGCCACGAGCGCGTGATGAAGAATTTTGTGACTCAATCTTGATCTGATTGTTTACTTTGGCTGGGCTCAGCACAATTGGTGCTGTCGTGGGGTACGATCCTAGCCAGGGTACTAGCTAGCCTAGGTCTGGTGTAGTCCGGTGTTCGCTGCAGATTAGGCAGGGCGCAAGGCGCTGAAGCTATAGCCTTTGTCCTGCATTCGGCTGCTCGCCGGATTTGAAAGTCAGGCACCTCGGACACGAGAGGAAAAACACGCGCGCATTAAGTCTGCTTGTGCCGTGCAAGTGCATCTCTGCTTTGTAGCTTCAGTTCCACCGCTCCCAAACACCAACCTCTCAAACTGCACAGGCCCTGGAGAGCTGATCGATGAGATTTCTTGCAGCTCGTGGCCTTTATGTTGGTACCTCTGGCTTACTTAATTCTTCAGATCCTTTTGTGGAGTAGAAGCTGTGAGGGTGTTGTGCTCGGCTTGTACTTTGCTGGCACTTACTGCACCTCGCTTCGCGGTGATGACTCTCAAGGGTCCCCTCGCTCTAGCAACAGACATTGAGAGGCTTTGTGCACGCAAACGGATCTATAGCGACTACTTGTGTTTTGTAGTTGGAAGAACATGTTGCCCCAACAGCTTGACCTTGTGCTTCGACGCCTGGTTCACATCGGAGCTCCGCTTGCAGCTCGTCTAATCCAGGGTCAACGACGCCTCCGCAAAAGTTCTTGCTTCTACTTCTACTCCTAATGTTCCTTAACACCGTGCAACCTCAGGACTTCATCATTCTGCTCCTTGCGATCACCCAATTGAGTTACGTAACCTTGGGAAGCGATGAGTGGGATGTGTTGGACTTCTTTGCCGGCCGAGGTAGAATTTCAACTCTCGGTTCGGCCTTAGGATACCGTTGTGCTGCCTACGACATTGAACGGGCACCTGTCAAGAAGCGCAAGTCAATCTGGCGCCCCGGTCAATCTGTGATGGATATGAATTCCGACGCCGGGTTCGTGTGCCCTGCCAGAGTTGAATTACCAGCGCAGTTCCTGTTTGCTCTCAACCCAAACACTAGCCTGACTTAGGAGCCCCTTTTGCGCCTCTCTCAGGCTGGCATGCACCCTGTGCCTCCAGTCAAAGATGAACGAGGTGTTGGCTTGCCTGGGCACGGTTTGCAGCAGTTGGGTACTAATTTCTCGCGGTTCGACCCAACGCAATGAGCTCCAAATCCCCGGTTGCACAGAGCACCCTTCTGTGCGAGCAGGCAACCTAATGGTTGCGAGGCCTGGGTACAGGTGTGCTTCCTAGATCTTTTTGTAGCAGTGCGGCGGGGGCAGTTTTTTTGGTTGGTAAGTACTGGTCTTCTTATGCTGTAGTGGGTCTTGTCTGGCCTTGAGGACAGCGTTACTGCTACTGTTGGTGGGTTGCATGGGAGGGAGCTTCATGCTGGAGAACCCTGTGACGACCCTGATGTTTTCCTTCCCACCCCTACGCCTGGCCCTGGTGAAGCTGAAGCAAGTCGCCGGCATTCCGGCACATTGTACGCAGTCTAGAATTGTTGAATACATTTGTATGCTTATGAGTCAGGGCCACGAACTGTCATGCTCACACTTTGTCAGCTAAGATCTACCGGGTGAACTTTTGGATGCGACATTATGGACACCAAACCGATAAACGAACAAGCATCCTCACGAACAAGAAGATCCTGACACGTCTGGATGTTGGTGAGCTGAAGCGAAAAGCTGCGCCATCGAACGTACGCACTGCTGTGCACTACTTGGACAAGAACAAAAAGAAGCGGGCCGTCTTTGAAGGAAACCCAGAACCTTGGTTTTCGTACAGTCCAAAGCCCCCCAAACCCCAAACCCCAAACCCTAGCCCTCAACCCTAAACCCTAAACCCTAGCAGCCCTACCACATCCCCCCCAAATCCCAGGACCTATCCAGCTGCCTTTGTCGGCGAGCTATTCAGATTGCTGCCGAGCATCCGAGCCGAGCGGAATGAGATGCAGATGCAGGCCATGCCTTTGCTAGCCAGCACCAACTTACGTAATTGAGGAGTTGGAGGCCCTATGTTTAGGGCTTGGGGTTGTCCGGTGGTTAGGGTTTAGGGTTTAGGTTTTAGTGTTTAGGGTGTAAGTTTTAGGGTTTAGAGTTTAGGGTTTACGGTCGAGGTTTAGGGTGTAGGGTTTAGGGGTTTAGGGGTTTAGGGGTTTAGGGGTTTAGGGGTTTAGGGGTTTAGGGGTTTAGGGGTTTAGGGTTTAGGGTTTAGGGTTCAAGAGAAAGAGAGAGATACAATATTATATGTATTATATTATATAATATTACATTACATTATATTATATTATATTATATTATATTATGTTATATATTAAAGAAAATATACTATATAGTATTATATATATAATATTATGTATATGTTATATATTGTATATGGTATATTATATATGATATATTATATTTTTGTGTTATATATATTATGTATTACGTATTATAAAAATATACTTTCACATTATATATGTTATATTCTATTGTATGGCAGTGTATAATACAATATATCCCTAAACCCTAAACCCTAAACCCTAAACCCTAAACCCTAAACCCTAAACCCTAAACCCTAAACCCTAAACCCTAAACCCTAAACCCTAAACCCTAAACCCTAAACTGTATACAATACATGTATTATAAGAGATGTAATATATATATATATAATATGTAGTTGTTACTTTCTGTATGTATATATATATATAGAGATGTTTTTTATTGTGTCGAGGCTCACGAGAGCAAAGGGTCCAGGGCCAATGGCACCCCAGAACCCCTAACCCTGTAACCCAAAGCAACCCTCTCTCGCAGAACACCCCACCTACCACAGGCCCAAGGTTGCTGGAGCTGAAGCTCCACCCTAAACCCACCGCCCAAACCCTAAACCCTAAACCCTACACCCTGAACCCTAAACCCTAAACCCTCAACCTAGTGCTGCCCAGGTGGACGAGGCGACGCCTCTCATGTGCCTGCTCATGCAGACAGAGTGGCTTTCCTGGGAGGAAGCTTGGGTGCCGGGGCCCTTGGAGTACGTCCTGGGCTCTACTAAATTCGTGAAGTCTACTGAAAGCGAGGAGGTTTTGGAAAGGGCTCGGAAAATGCTTTTCCACAGTTGATGTTGTTTTTGGGTTTTTTCTGGTTTTTGTACGGGTTTTAGGTTTTTTCCGGTTTTTCCTGCGGCGTTATTTGGCGTTATGTGAGCGTTATTTCACGTTCGAAAGGCGTTATTTGGCGTTAGTGGAAAACGGCGTTTTTCCGAGCCCTACTGGTAGCAATTCAAGCCCAGCCACAGCCCAAACGACAATTCAAGACTGTACTGGCCTCAAAGGTTCGTGTCGCGGTGCTGTGTATGTGCCTGTGGGCTGGGACAAGCTGTTTCTGCATGCTGGCTAGATAGAATACACACGGAGCTCAGCTGGTGCGTGTGGAAACACAAGACCACGATGTGTTTGCTGCTGCTCTGGCCTGGCACAGTTACAATACTGCGCTTGCTTTGCTTTCCTTCGGTTAGGCTGGTAAGAAGCTTTGGCCTGTGGGATTCCGTGGTTTTTTGAGGGTAGGGTAGCTGCTCTGGTGCTCGGGATGACATCTCGGGTCCCCTCTCGCGCTTGGTCTACCTCGACCTTGCAAGCGGGCCTCTCACTTGTCAACACGAACAGTGCAATGTACAACTTCGCTGGGATGTCCGATGCTGAGTTGCAACACGAGCTACAGGCCTCTAGGTTTACATTATCGTACCCACCAAATTATTGTACCCACCCCAGGATCCCGACTGACAACCTCTACCTCAATGTTCACCAAAATAACCATCCCAGGTTTTGGAACAAGAGAAGGCTGCGTTCGAAAAAGCTGCCAAGCCACAACCCGGAGAGCAGCCTCAAGAGCAGCAGCCCGGCGAGCAGCAGCAGAAGACTGCAGCTGATGCCTGCAAGGAAGGAGTGGCCGAGACACAGCTTGTCGAATCCCCAAGCCGGTACGCTAGCCCTTCACAAACCACAGTGGCAGCGGCAAGCCCTAGCGCCGAAAGCTCCCGCAAAGCTGTGCTGCAACACCACCTCAAGGCCGGCACGTCCAAGAAAGACACCACGCCCAAGAAAGCCGCCGCACCCAAGAAAAGCGCTACGACACCCACCAAAGCCGCCTCACCCAGGAGCAAGGGAACGCCCAAGAAGCCCCTCACGAATGAGGAGCTGGATCTACTTATTCCGGATAAAGACGACAGGAACGCCAAGAAGCCGGCCCTAGGACAGCCGCAGCTGAGCCCGCAGGCGATCAGAATGCGAACACAGAGGATCTTCAAACCACGCAGCAACGGAACGCTGAAGGTCTCCCAGGAGATCTGGAATGAATGGCACCAGAAAGGTGCAAGGCGAACCATGCTGGAAACAATATTTCATCAGTGTGGCTACGATCCAGCTTCTTTGCGTGGATCCGAAGATAGGAAGTAACCGTCAATGTTTGCTAGTCTCTGGTGTTGTTTTGAACGTGTACAACAAAGCAGCCGAGGCTACCTTCATGTCCGAGGTCGAGGTGATGCGGGCAGAGCTAATCGAGAATGAGGTCGTGGTTGAGGGGGAGTATGCAAGTGTGGAAGCAATGCAAGAGTGGGGGTTCACTGAGCACTCAGTCAGCAAATAACATAGCATGGTCCCATAAATTATACACATCCTCGAGGGTGATTCAACCAAGGAAGAGGATCGAGGCAATCAAAAAGCATTGCCGCGAGAATCCCACCGAGCTCATGAGGATTCAGAACACCATTGCTCGTTAAACCCCTAAACCCTAAATCCTAAACCCTAAACCCTAAACTCTAAACCCTAAACCCTAAATCCTAAACCCTAAACCCTAAACCCTAAACCCTAATCCTGAAACCCTAAACCCTAAACCCTAAACTCTAAACCCTAAACCCTAAACCTTAAACCCCTATAAGCCAGGAGGGACCGATACGAGAAGATCAACCTCTACTACGTGGAAAGGTCTATCAAGGCCACGCTGAGGCAGGGTTCATAGGGGGTGTTTGGGTTCACGCAACTTCCTCAACCCGAAAATCTGACTAAATGTCACTGTGTGAACCTAGGAAGAAAGCCTCCTTGTCGATGAGCAAGCGCATCAAGTGGAACGAGCAGGGTGTGGGTGACATCTCCTTGGAGCCCAGCGCTATGAAAGACCCCACGCAAGGCCCTCCTTGCACGCAAGACTAAACCCCCAAAGCCCCCACTCCGCGCCCCCTTGACGCCCCTAAACCTTAAACCCCCCCTAAATCTCCTAAACCCCTAACCCCCTAACCCCTGCGCAACCAAAGCCCCAAACCCCCCAAGCCCGAAACCCCCAAAGCCTCCTAAACCCCCTAAACCCCCTAAAACCCCCTAAGCCCCTAAACCCTTTAAGGCCCCCTAAGCCCCCGCTAAACCCCCTAAGCCCTCTAGGCCTTGTTTCGCCCATTAGGAAGGATTCCAAGGCTTATGTTTGGGGTGTTGCTGTCGTGCTGTTTGTACCGCAGAGGCAAGTAAGGGGCTGGGTGGGTTCAAACTAGCTCAGGGTCTAGATTTAGGGTTTTGGGTGGCAGGGGCTCAAAGCGCTGAACCTTTCGGAGATCTATAGCAGAACAAGTAGATCGATCCCCCCCCAATTTAGGACTCCAAGGCTTACGTTTGGGGGGTTGCTGGCTGCTGTCTGTAGCGATAAAGTCAACCAAAGGGTTGGCGTGGGTCTGGGTTTAGGGTTTTGGTTGTGGGCTCAAAGTCTCTGAGGTTTAGGGAACCTTCGCCCCTCAACAATGCCAAGAGGTGATGGTATCGACCTGGGCGATGCAGCTGACGATGAGGACTATGCCTTGGCTGCCAGAAAGAAGCTGGGGATCCCCGAATATGACCCAAACGCCTCGTTAATCCAGACGCTGCCCAAGATCTTGCTACTTGGTTGCGTGCAATTTTGTTTACGCAAGTTTGTCAGGGCACCGAGCAATTCTACCAGGCTGGCGCTTGGAAAGCGCGTGAAGGTCATGGAGAAGATGAAAGATCTGCTGGCCACGCTCAAGAACCCGAGCAGGATACAGCAGGGGTCACGAAGCAGTCTTTAGTCGGGCTTGCCTGAGGCACAGTAAGTACGCCTGAAACCCTAGCCCAAATCCCTAAGTTTGTTGGCGCCCAAAGACCTACTACCTACTGCGCACACCGTACACAGAGTCTAGCACCAAGGTTCCAGGAACAGACCTCCCATCTGCTGAGCGATCTGGAGAAAGGGAACAATGAGCTGAGTGATATCTTCAGCCAAAAGGTTGTGGGAGGGGTTCCCAGATCGCACCCTGGCCGCCCTACCCATGCTTGAACTTTGTAGCTGCCAGCCAAGTCTCAATTAATCGTGCAATGCAGGGAAGAGCCGGGCCTCATCAAGAAGATCGATGCTCTCATCAATGTGCCACCTGCCGTCGATTGATCAGTGGCCACCAACCTACGTTAGGGTTTAGGGTTTAGGGTTTAGGGTTTAGGGTTTAGGGTTTAGGGTTTAGGGTTTAGGGTTTAGGGTTTAGGGTTTAGGGTTTAGGGTTTAGGGTTTAGGGTTTAGGGTTTAGGGTTTAGGGTTCGGTGGCCGCTCTCAGGGCTACAGCTTCCTTGTCTTTGGAGACACGAGCAAAGTTCCCATCTCAGATGTAGTAAGTCTGGTAGTCTTGCAAGAAGTTACACTATCATCAGCTCTAGTACAACTAGTGATTACTGTTGGAAGGCCGTTCCTCCCGAAGGATGCTGCCGATCCGACTACGAGTGGGTCGAAAAGGGCCCCTAAGGCCAAAGCCAAGGCCAAGGCCAAGGGAAGGGTGAAGAAAGAGGTTGTGTCACCCAAAGCAAAAGCGAAGAACGGCAGCCGGCCAAAGGCCGCGGCCAATAAGGTGTAGAGGTGTGTTCTGATGCCACTTGCTCTTCATGCTGGGGTAGTGTGTGCAGCAATGGCTCTGAGTTATCGCCTAAGCAGCTTGCCTAACCCAGCAGCTTGAACACAATAGGGTGCGCAGCTCTCAAACCCTGAGCTCTAATGCTTTCTCCGGGTAGGCTGCAGGCGGCTTTTGCAACAGTTCGCAGATGGCAGAAAAGGGCTCTGTGTGGAAGTCCAATAGCAGTGCAGGGAGCGAGGGGTTGCTTTCGACGCTCAAACCTTTGTTTTGCGTCCGATTTTGGGTCCGGGGTTTGAGCTGCCATGCCAGGAACTTCCAACGTGACTGGCCAAGAACAAGGAGAAGCAGCACAAGAACTTGCTCAAACATACGCTGAAGCATATGCCGATTGCGCGGCTCGCCTCGTCACCCTAAACCCTAAACGCTAAACCCTAAACACTCAACCCTGAACCCTGAACCCTATAAACCTGAGCCCTATAAACCCTAAACCCTCAACCCTCAACCCTCAAGGGCAGGATATAAATAGAAATTGTATGTGTTTCGTGATGAGCAGCTCCCAGTCCCGCCCCTCACCCCCCCAGCCCGGCCCCAGCCCCTCAGCCCAGCCCCTCTCCCTCACCCCAGCCCAGCCCAAGCCCAGCCCCACCCCCACCCCGCCCCAGGCTTGCTCATAAGCCCACCAACCCCTCCATGAGCATGAAATTTGAATTGTAGCCGAAACCTCATAAAGGCAAATCCCAACCCCTCCCAACCCCTCCCAACCCCTCCCAACCCCTCCCAATCCCTCCCAACCCCTCCCAACCCCTCCCAACCCCTCCCAACCCTTCCGCCCCCCTCACCCCCACCACCCACCCCACTTTGGAGCCGCGCCTCCTTCCCAAACCTCCTCCTCCTCATTGGGCCTCCTTCCCAAACCCCTTCCCACCTTTTCTTTTGCAAGTTTGGCTAGCTCCTCCTCAGCTCCAGCCCCTCACCCAAAAACCAAGATTGAACAGGTTTAGGGTTTAGGGTTTAGGGTTTAAGGTTTAGGGTTTAGGGTTTAGGGTTTAGGGTTTAGGGTTTAGGGTTTTTTTTAAAGGGTCTAGGGCAACCCAAAACCCTAAAGCCTGAAAACCACCCATAGCTTAACGGAATACTCTCCAGGTTCCCGCCTCAACTCTGGCTTCTCTGGCGGTTGCTGCCAAAGCCGACGGCCTTGGCTGCACTATACCCACAAGTGATGCAAACCACGCTGCGCGAGATACACAGAAATTCATTCACCGTTGGGGCCTTTCGTGGAACATACCATTTTCCTACTTTCGCTTTGAGCACGAGCAGAAGCAGATCGATGTGCCTTACTTTAGCCCTCTGAAGTTAATTCCGGCCCTATTGGAAAGGGCCCCAGAACTTCTTTTTGGAGGTTTGGGAATAGTGCCTGGGCAACGTCACCTGTCGGCTTTCTGGTCTGCTTACAGACAGACCCACCCCACGCACCGGGTTTTTGTTGATCACTCGGACAGTCTTAGCACTGTCATACCCCTAGCTGTACATGGCGACGAGGGTCGTGGAGTCAGAAAAGGCAACACATGCCTACTTACGCTGGAGAGTCCTTTTGGTCTGGGCACTGCTGCTAATGTTTCTGCTGGAAACCATTATTGTGGGTGCAATGGTTGTCAAAGCGGCGGCGTCAACATGGACGAGCCCGTTTTGAGCAGCTCAGCAAACAACGACATCGCCGGAATGCAGGAACACAACGTGAAGGGCCATTGCTTCTTAACTAAGTTTTTGGTTTTCCTTTTGCCACACGCACTCTACAAGGCATCGGACCTTTGGCTGGCGCTTCTGGAACAGGTGTGTAAGGAGTTGAGGCAGCTATTCTTTGAAGGCGTTTACGCTGGTGGGCGGTATTGGCACGCTGCTGTGATCGGTTGCAAGGGGGACATGGCATACTTCGTGAAGATCGCCAATCTTACAAGGTGTTACACCAGGCTCGCTGAAGACGCTTGCATGTGCCACGAGTGTTTGGCTGGCTCACGAAGCCAGCCCTTCGAGGACTGCTCTGAGAGGCCAAGTTGGGCACAGTCGCTGTACGCGCGAAGACCCTGGGATGATACACCTGTCATCAGCGCTATCCCGTTTGACTCGACTCCGGAGCGTATGCTTCGACGCGATGTCTTCCACAACACGAAGATCGGAGTGTTTCGAGACCTTGTGGGGAGCGCTGTTGTGTTGATCGCAGAGCTGGGCTATTTTTCGGATGATCAAGGCAGCAACAGCATGAAATTCTTGTTGCAGCGAGCCCACTCGCACTTTCGGCTTTATTGCCTGGCGATCAAGAAGCCTGCAGCTCTTCATAGTTTTTCAAAAGAAAACTTTTCTGCTCCTACCCGGAAAGCCTTTCCCTGGGTTCGCAGTAAGGGGTCCGACACAACCCTGCTGGTGGATTGGCTGGTGGCTTTATGCACTGCTCTTCTTGCTACACCCTTGGACCCGGCTCACGTGCCCGTGATTTCGTTGATAAAGCAAACGGCCCAAGCTGCGAGCAACTTTATGAAATCAATGTACCGTCATGGTCTTTGGCTCACACGACGTTGCGCTGAAGCTGTGTACGCTGAAGGTCGTCGGTTCTTGGAAGGCTGCAACGAGCTTGCCTACACATCGCTGCACAGGCTGCGTTTCAACGGCTTTGGCATGAAGCCCAAGCTTCACATGGTAGCACACACGACGTGGGATCTCAAGAGGTGGCTTGATGATGCGAGCGTGACTTTGATACCCTCGCCCTTGATGTGGTGTTGTGAACCAAACGAGGACATGGTGGGACGAATGTCCCGCATTGCTCGCCGTAGTCATCAGGCCAGAGTGTGCGAACGAAGCTTGGAGAAGTACTTAATTAAAACTAGAGCCCTGTACAGACGTTACAAGAAGAACCCAGAACTCTCCTTGAAACGGAAGCGCTGAAGTGCATGCCAAGTGCTCGCAAAACAGCCAGCACCATTCGAAGCGACGCCAGGGCATGGGAGGTTTCGAGTTTGGGCTTGAAAGTTTCGGGACCAGGGTTGAAAGCTTGGGGGCTTGGGGTTATTGGGATCAGGGCATTCGTTTCTAAGATTCGCGTGGCCTGCGCTGCTTCGGTGTTGTGTTTTGGTTGTTGTGGGCAGTTCGGGATGTACGAGTAAGGGTTTTGTGAGTCCAGGAGCCAGGGGATTCAAGCCAAACACTATCGTTCAGAAGCTGTACGCAACCCTTACCCTAAACCATGATCGATGCCTTACGACTTCTGAGCCCCAAGCACTAAAACCCTAAACCCCCCAAGCACTAAACCCTAAACCCAAGCCGTTGCCTTGCGAGAGTCCAAGCCCAAACCTGTGAATCAGCGTACTCAACTCCCTCAACATCCTAGAATCTACCCCGCAAAAGGTATACATCTTCAAAACCCGAACCCTTGAAAATATTCGGCTTAAGTTTCTACTATCTCTAAACTGCCCGAACCCTCATCTACGTTTTTTTCCATCATCTGCGTTTTTTACAACTAGCGGCGGAATTTTCTATAATTCCGAGGAACTACGTTTATTTTTGCAGGCAAGGTGGTTCAGGTATATATATATATATATCTGAATACCCTTTAAAGGATTATATAGCATAGCTCATTCCCCCATTCCCCAAGAACAGGCAAGCTTTCGGGCTCGCGGAAGCGCCAGCTTTTAACCTACTGTTGGTTAGTAGGGAATGAGGGAATGAGCTACCCTATATAATCCTTTAAAGGGTACATATATGTGTATATATATATATGTACACATATATATATATGATGATAATAAATAAATAAATAAATAAATAAATAAATATATATATATATATATATATACAGGGGGATATAGGGTACCTCATTCCCGCATTCCCAAGGGACCAACAGCAAGTTCGCCCGCCTGTCAGCTTCTCGAGCTCGCTCAGATCGAAGCCATCTGCTTGGCCCCGGGGCGTGCCTTCGGGGCTGCTACTTGGAGGTTCGTACTTACTCACCAATTAATTATGACTGTACTCATAGCCCACTTATAGAAAGCCCCTTAAGTGCCCTAATATGGTTGTGGATACAGTTATAAGTACAGTTATCCTAAACCCTATAAACCCTAAACCCTAAACCCTAAACCCTACACCCTCGGTTGATAAGTACCGTGAACCTCCAAGTCGGATTCGAGAACCACAGCACAAAGGGCTTGGGGTTGGGACGTTCCCCTTTTATCTAGCAAACCTTAATAGGGACGATAGTTAGGGGGTCACTATAACCCCTACAAAGACTGCTTGAATACTGGGCAACAGCGCAAGGCTTGGGGTTCAAGTAAGTAGGTGTTCGGATGTTTTCGGGCTTAGGATGGAGGGGGTTTCGGTTCACGTGAGCTTTTGACAGGTTTGCACTCCCGTCCTCCGTTCAGGTAGTTGCCCGTGGCCAGGATCAGGCTCAAATAGTCTGGCAAGGCCTGCAGGGCAGCAATCTTGGGGGCCTTAACAATTAGTTCTTGTGTGTGTGTTTTTTTTTTTTTTGGGGGGGGGTGGGGGCATCTAGTAGAATTATGTATAATTTTAAAGACACCATAAGGGAACACCAGTAGTAATTATTCCGACCCCTACATTACCCTCGTGTTTAGGGTCTAGAGGAGGTTCAAAAGTGTTCAGCGTCCCTAAACCCTAAACCCTGAACCCTAAACCCTAAACCCTAAACCCTAAACCCTCGGCTGAAGGCAGTACTGCAGAACTCTGGGAGCCTTGGAGTGCAGGAAGCACTCGACCACATCCAGGAAGTCCTCTGAGGCGACCCTAAACTACTTGGTGTTTTGGGGGAGAGCCCTAAACCCTAAACCCTAAACCCTAAACCCTGCAGGCGGGTTCAGTTGCAAGGGTGTGTTTTGGGTTTAGGAAGTGGTTACTGAGGCCCGGACGTCACCTGCCGCGAACGGAAATGCTGTTAAATGCTGTTATTTGCAGGTGTTTTCGATGCAGTGACTGTACACCTTCTTTTTAGCAACATGTTATGGATGTTACTCTTGATGACGGAACGCGCTAGGCGCGTTCCGTGACAGCCTGTTCCTGGTTTTTGCTTGTCTTCTGGGTGGGGCTTGGGGGGGGGGGGGGATAGGTGCCCCAATTCTTCTCTTTCATCTGGCTCCGCGTGCAAGTGCCATGTTCAGGTCTTCGTACTGCTCCTTAATGTTAGCTGGCAAGGTGCTGTACAATCCCATGGGGAAGGGCCAGTTCCAAAAGCACAACCGCTTCTGGTCTCGTCCCCGCTTCCAGAAGCCGCTGCATCGCAGCAATATGGCTCCCTTTGAGGGGCCGGAGCGCACGACATGGACTTGAAGGCTCCACTTTGTGTGGCGCGGACAGCCGCCCCATTTGAAGCGCCGCTGTCGATCTGCAACAGCAGGCACGCTATACTTTATCAAACCTCGCTCCTGCTGTAGCTGCTCTTCTACTTCTGGCGGTATCTCATTCATGTTTGAGGAGTCTGCCTCAACTTCGGGGCTGAAGTCTTCGATGAAATCATCACATTCACCAGAGTCTTCCACGCGGTCTTCGCATGGCACGCTAGGACCACTTGTGCTACTACTCGCTGCGCTACTCAGGAGCACATGTGGATTCCACGCAGCCTTCTTCTGAAGCTTCGTGATTCCGGAGGTCTGTGCGACGTGCCACCTCTTGTACTTCTTTGTCCATGGGCTGTCCAGAATGTTCTCTTGGCTTGGTGTCTCCTGTCAGGGATGACTCACATCATGCCATAACACGTCACCTGACAACAGGGCTGCAAGCAAGCCTGCAGCGCGTGGCTGAGAAAGTGTAGGTCATCTCGCGCTAAGTCTTCTTCGGCCTGGCAGACATGAGAGACATTCAAAAAACCTCTACTCCAACCTTGTCGGGGGGGGGACACTACTCAGCAGCACGGATCAAACGCAGGTGCGTGTGCAGTGTTTTTGTTCCCCATGCTGAGCTCTTGCTCCACCCCATGCCTTTGCTCGCAGTAGACTGGACATCTCGTCAGCATCAGCTGCGTCAGGCTTCATCCCGAAAGGCCTGAGCAAGCAGTTCCCTGCGGCGCTTTGCGCTCGGGAAATGTGTTCTCAGCCACCAACTGTACAAGTACGCCCACAGGTGCGGGCAAAAAGTAGGCGTCTTGGCTTCCTTGCTGCTACCGTTCAAGCTCTTTGGGATGTATTGTTTGATGCCAGACCACCGCTGGTCTATCAAACCAGTGTTTACATTGATCGTGCCTCGGCCACTGATGCGCTGCTTCTTGGCAAACTGACCCTTGGAGTGGACAACGTACCGATGCTTGAGGCTATGCTCCTTGGCAAGCCGCTCATACAGCTGGGCGCCGTCCGTCACAAGTAAGCTGGCGACCTTGCCGCTGTCGGTCTCTTGGCTGACGAGATGCTCTAAGCCTCTGCAGGACAAGACGTCAGCTCTGCTTTCTACAGGGCACACAGCGTTGTGCGCCACTTGCTTCACAGGCATCATGTACACGACCATCCGCGGCGGCTGCTGGTTCTGCGGCCGCTCGACGAGCCCCCATAAGGCAACGAAGTTGTTGTGGCCCCGTCGTTTGTACAACTTGAGGGCCGTCCCATCTGCTTCTACTACGCCGCTGAGCCGGACTTTCTGCATGAGCCGGTATCCCAGAAACGCCTCCTTCTGGAGGAGAAACTGAAAGAGGCTCCTGGACGAAGAGGAACGGCTGACACCTACGCGCTTGCAGATGTCCTGGAAATTCGGCACTGGTCGGTCTGTAAACTCTTTGATGAAGTCGACTATCTGCGGAAGGGGCATGCCGTACTTCATTTGTGGCAGGTGTGTGAAGCGGATACAGGAGATGGGATTGCCGCACTTTGTGCCGCGAAACCACATGGTGTTCATCTGCCTCCCACTCTTCTGCAGCCATTCTACGTGTTTCTGTCTCTCTGCTGTACTTCTCCGCTGCCTGGAATTCAGGGCCACACTGCACACGCACGTGTCGTTGCAATTGGGACAAGGGAAGCTCGCCATGCGACAAAACACCAAAACGTCGCTCGATCAACATTTGATGCCGCCGTGCCATGTCTTGTACGTCTGGTGAGCGTGCTATCCGACTCCTCTCTGTTACCAAGCAAAAAGCAAGAGCTCCTGCGCACTCGGCCAAAGAAACCCATGGTATCGCGCCAGACCGATCCTCATAAAACATAGCAAAAAGGGCCACATTCACGGACACAGACGGCGTGGAGACGAGCACGTCAAAGTGAGCCCGCAGGTCGTTGCCTGCGAACCGCTCCAAACGATGCAGAGCCGCAGGCAAGCGACTGCCGATGCATTGAAGCACGAGAACAATGCTCAGCAGCAAAGCCAACCAACGCAGGGACGACATGGCAGATTCAGCGCTGTCCCGCTACAATGCTTACATCATCATGACAAGACAGACTTCAGCCCTATCACGCTGTCATGCCAATATTTCTATCCTGACCACACAAGATGATGACATGAACAAAAAGCCACCCAAAACCTGATTCTCCTTCCAAAGCCGAAAAACACATACACTGTAAATAACGACACAACTGACACTTTGCACCACACTTGGAAGTGAACCCGCAGGGTAAACCCTAAACCCTAAACCCCAAACCCCAAACCCTAAACAGCCTAAACCCTAAACCCTAAACCCTACACACAGGATCTTGGTGGGTGCAGTGCTTCAGAGCAGTTCAAGAAACGCGTCGGATCATCCTCGAGCCCCTCCATACACGTTGTAGCCTTCTGCCTGACCAGCTGAGCTCGCAAAACTCTGCAAGCGTCTGACATCAACACCCATGACCTTTCATACTTACCTAAGTTACCCACCACCCACCCCAAAACAAAAACGCAAGAAACCCAAATAAACCCTGAACCCTAAAAAACAAAACCCAAGTAAACCCTGAACCCTAAACCCTCCTGACTGTACGGGCCAGGGTTAAACTCTGGCGTGGGTGGCGGCCTGTAGGTCATCATCGCCAGCGTGAACAGGAGCCGCTCCTGCGAAGATGCTGGGGATGGGTTGAGGGTTTAGGGGTTTAGGGGTTTAGAGGTTTAGGGGTTTAGGGGTTTAGGGTTTAGGGGCTTAGGGTTTAGGGGATTAGGGCTTTTAAGGGTTTTGGGTTTAACTTGATTTGCTTTGGGGGGTTTAAGGGCTGAAGGGGATCAGCGCAGCAGAAGCATAGGGACCGGAAAGGGAATCCTGTAGCATGATGTTCACATGGCCCAGGCAAAGCGGCTCAGCCCCTCTAGAACTTTAGATTCAAAGGAGCTCGCAACTACTATTTGCCTTCGTTCCCCCCCTTCCTTCTAAGGGCACGGTAGGGATTATTATCGTTCATTTTTGGGCTCCTTAAGCAAATAGTAGCAACAAAAAAAACGGCAAATGGTGGCGGCTCCTTGCAGTCTGGCACACTGCCCAGGGCTCTTCGGAACACGAACTCGGGACCTTCTGTGACCTCCACCTGAAAGGCTTTGCAGACTGCAAAACCATCAAAGTCGGAGTCTCTAACCCTGAACACTCCTACAGCCTTGAGAACCCCTTTCAGCCTTCTAACCGCTCTAAGCCCTGTCTACACGCGCCTGGTGCTGAAGAAGCTCAAGCACCTGCACCGCTGACGTTGAAGGAACAGAGCCCTAACGTCCCTCGGAAGAAGCTTCCGAAACGCTGGGCAACAAGAAGCAAGAAACGGTGCTGGCAGCAATGCATCCCCTAGGTACTCCTATAACGGATCGTTGGGGGGTCCATGCTTTGTCGGTTAGGGAAACCAAGTCATCCACATTGTTCGGAAAGACCGAGGGCGGAAGGCGCAAGGGCGCTATACCCTGCAAACCCGAAACCCGAAACCCGAAACCCGAAACCCGAAACCCCAAACCCCTACACCCTAAACCCTAAACCCTCAACCCTAAACCCTAAACCCTAACCGGGCCTTCCCCAGCTGCTGAACTGTGCACTGGGCCCTGTCTGATGCTGGATCCAGATCCTCACATGAGGTTGTTCTTTTCATGCTTAGGAGTCTCGGTAGCCCAGTACCCATATTACGGTAGGGTACCCTTTCGGGGGGATAGTTACGTACCTCAAAAGGAAACCTAGAAATCAAATAAAAGGGGCAAAAGGGCACCAGTGGTCTACCGAGTTTAGGAAGGAGGGCTTTCAGTTCAACCGAGTCTAATAGGGGTCAGGCTCGCTATGCTTGGAGGTTTATGGGTACTCGTAACCCCAACTCTATCTGTACGTATACGTCCTCTAAGAAATTTGTAAGTAGACTTATCATTGGGGTTATAAGTGGACCTCCAAGTAGGGTTCTAGCACCTCCGCCAGCTCTATGCTTTCAGGCTGGGAGGCCTATTGCCTGTCTGCCTTCGCCCTCAGAACTCTGCGACTGGCAAAGCACCAGAATCGCAGTAGCAATCCTTCAGTGCTGCAAAATGTGTTTGGTAAAGCTGAGCATGTCCGCGTCCTGCAGAATGTGCACCACATCCTCCTGTCTCGGCAGCTGCTGCGCCAACACTGCCCAGCGAGCAGCACTGGCCTGGACCGCGAGAAGGACAGCCGCGGGTCAGCGCTAATGAAAATCCTCAGACTTGAACAGTGCACTGTATGCACAGAGAGAGATATACACATATATATATATATATACATATTGTATCGATCTATGTTTTTTGCAGCTTTTTTGTAACATACACCTCAACAAACCTGTCATGGGCACGCCTGCGCAGTCTCTTCATTCCGTCGGCTCGCCTGCCCCAGGAAATTCGAGTCAACTCTTGAGGGCTCCTTTCCTACAATTTGCTTGAGAGCCCCCCAAAAAGAACAAGAACATATTCTTCTTTATAAGGGAAACAAAGGGGCTAGTATAGATGTACATATGTATTTATAAACTAAATAAATAAACAAATATACATATATATATATATATACACATATGTGTAAATAAATATCTAATTTAAAGAAAAAACTATATATATATATGTAGATATACATATATCTATATATACTTGTTTATATGTGGTGGGGGGTTAGTTTCTTGGCAGCAGCGCCTCTCTGGCAAGCCTCTTCCGATCCGCGTCGGCGATGGCATCCGCGGAGAACTTTGTCCTCAAGCTCTCGACCCGCAGAAGGCTTAGGGGGTGTTTGGGCCGAGATTTAAAATGCAACCCTACACCCTAAACCCTAAACCTTATAAACCCTAAACCCTAAGCCCTAAAACTCTCGACCCGAATGGTTGAAGGTCGGCGAGCTGTGCCGATTCGTGGATTCACAATGCCGGGGGCTTGACATCAAGAATGGGCCCTTGTCGGCACTCTCTACAGCAGGAAACGCAAGGAGCGCACGAGATTTGGGGTACCTTCTGGGGGTCCTCATTCTCAGGGAATCCCAGCATTTGGGGATCTATATTGGGGTCCCCCTATTTTGAGAAACCGCCAAGAGGTCCCAAAAAATCATGGGTTTCCCTACTACCCCCCCCCCCCTCCGCCACCCTCTTTCCTACCCCCTCTAGGTTCCCCCCCTTAAATGACCTTAGTTAGGCCAAATCCCCATTAGGCGATCTTTTTGAGCCGCAGCTCGCAGGAGCGACTGGTACAGGGTTTGAAAGCTACTATTTGCTTGAGAACCCCAAAGAAAAAATAATCATCCTTATATTGCCCTTATAAGGAAGAATATTAACATTTTTTTGGGTTCTTAAGCAATTCGTAGAGAATTCGGGCTTCAAATTGAGGCTTTCACTTTTTTTACGTGCTGAACCATCCAGGGTTTGGGGGGTTCGGGTCTTCGGGTGCTTTCAGCCCCTAAACGTTCCGAAACCCTAAACCCCAAACCCTAAACCCTAAACCGAAATCAAAACAAAGACCCCAAGTCGGCGACGTGAGGCTCTGAGGCCCCGTCTCCAGCTCCAAGGTTGGGATCGGCACAAGTTGCCCCTGCATGCCAGAGGAGCAGGGACCTACTTTTATTCCAATTTCTCAATTTCGGGTGTAGGGTTTAGGGTTTAGGGTTCAGGGTTTAGGATTCTAATTACCCCAACCCCAAACCCTAAGCCCTGGAGCCTGCAAGCCTGAAACCCTGACTGAAATCCTCAACCCCAAATCTCTGTTCTCCTGAAGTCCTGTGCAGATAAGAATCCCTACTGTCCTGCACCTCAAACAGACTACTCTGGGTCCTAGCTACTACCCTAAACCCTAAACCCTAAAGCCTAAACCCTAAACCCTAAACCCTAAAGCCTAAACCCTAAACCCTAAACCCTAAACCCACAGCAAGACGCCTCGGCACGGCTCCAAACGGTCTGGCCTCATAGTTCCCAACAACCGGTGACAGCCCCCTTGTTGGGGCTTCAGGGTCGTGTATAATCATTTCTAACAGATGCGCATACGTATATATATATATATATATATATATATACGTATATATATATATACATATTTTTCTTAGTATAAAACAGTACAAAAGAACATATACAGAAATTTTCTAAAGTATGGAATAATCCTGATGGGCTTCTTGCTTGCATTCTCTCAAAATCTTTCGGGGCTTCGCGCTGAGGTGGAGGCTGTTTGAGTCGAGCGCCAGTGTCCTGTGCAAGTGGGCAGCAGCTGAGGGTTGTCCGTGTTTGATAAGAAGCCGAGTTAAGAACAACCCAGCTGGGTTCAGGTCACCGCTGTCCTCCACTGCAGGGGGGCAAAACGTACATCTCCCCTGCCGGCACAGGTGAAACCTTGATGCGCGGAGATGACACCCTAAACCTAAACCCTAAACCCCAAATCCTAAACCCTAAACCCCAAACCCTAAACCCTAAACCCTGAAGCGCCAGCAGGGAAGAGGAAGCAAGGGCCAGAGCCGGTCGGAGCGGGTGAGCTTGGACTGGCCAGCGCCTCGTCCTGCAAGTAGCATATATTCCTAGTTTGCAGAAAACCCCGGCACAATGATCCCTGTATTTGCTTATTTATTGATTTTCCTTGGGGAGGGGGGGGGGGGTCTTAAGCTAATAGCAGGTCTTGAGTTGCCGTACTACTAAACGTGGGGAACATCGTTTTCCCCATAAACAGCGTTGTCACTGAAGCTGTAATATGTGCTGGTATGATTCCAGCACTGGATCGCTCCTCTGCATTCGCCGGCGATCTTGACAGCTGCCTGCAACTTGCATGCGCTCTTAAGTGGCTAGGCACGCCCGACGCAATAACTTGCAAAGTTTGTTGCTCCACTGCTACGCTGTGGTGTGACCCTGCAGGGGCAAGCCAAAACCGCTGTATTTGCAGAAGATGTGGAACGCAGTCGGATGCTCGATCAAGCCTACGAGAATGCCATGTGCCTTCACACCTAAGTTCGGGGTTGTCATGGGCGAATTTTGCAATACTGCACCCTAAACCCTAAACCCTAAACCCTAAGCCCTAAACCCCAAACCCTAAACGACAGAAACAAAGAACCCGAGACATGCTCACAGCCCGCAAAATGGCAGCGGGGTCTCCTCTGAAACGGTGGGTCGCCCTCTTCGGCGAGGTCCCTGACATCCAGTGGCTGCGAGGGGCCTAACACGGCTAACTCTGAACACCCTAAACTCCTGAGCTTGAATCCTTCAACACTACACTTTTAGGTTTAGGGTTTAGGGCTTAGGGTTTAGGGTTTAGGGGTTGTCTCTACAAGAGCCGAAACCCTCCACAGTTGCTCATCTGGGACGTCGGACCTCCCCAGCTCCTCAAGCCTGAGCGAAGGCAGGAACATCAGTGGCCCAAGACGGTCGGGGTTGAGGGGGTTTAGGATTTAAGGGTTTAGGGTTTTTAGGGGTTTAGGGTTTTTGGGGGCGTTTGGGCCTTTGGGGTTTTAGGGTTTTAGGTGTTAGGGTTTAGGGTTTCGGGCTCATCCTTTGTTTTTGGTTTTTGGGTTTTGGGGATTTAGGGTTTTGGGGTTTCAGGGCGTTTAGGGGCTTTAGGGCCTTGGGGTTTAGGGTTTTAGGGGTTTTCGGGTTACGTTTTTTTTGGGTTTGGGGGGTTTTAGGGATTTAGGCATTTACGGTTTTGGGGAGAAAAGGTTTGGGGGTTTTGGGGGTTTCGGGTTTAGGGTTTTAGGGGTGTTTCGGGCTGAGGGTTTTAGGGTTCAGGTTTTAGGGGCTTTAGGGTTTTAGGGTTTAGCGTGTTAGGGTTTTGGGTATTAGGGTTGAGGGTTCAACATGCCTAGCATGCAGTCGAAATGCAACTGTTCTAGACGGACAGATACCACGCCAGGCCATGTCGATCTACCTCTGTCCCTATCCATCTCTTTGTCTGTCTTACAACTCCCCCTTAAAAAAGAAAAAACTAACCACTATGTAGTATACAGCAACAGCACATTGACGTGTATATGTAGATGTACTTCGTAGCCCACGAACCATTTTGTACTCAGGGCACCCCCTTTTTGTTGGCTGGTTACGTCATAGGGGAACCACTGGGCTGCCAAGTGTAAATTAGATACATCACGGGTGAATCCTTTTGACTTCTAGTACTTGGAGTTTCATGGGTACTTATAACCCCGGATATAAGTCTACTTATAACCTACTTAGAGGACTTAGGGGGCTTGTAATTACAGTTATACCCTAAACCCTAAACCCTAAACCCGAAACCCTAAACCCTAAACCCTAAACCCTAGTTATAAGTGGTACCCTGAGCCTCCAAGTATGACTCATTCTTGCCAGTCCTCAGCCCTCCGCTGCCACAGCTCCTGGAGCTCCGCCAGGCCAAAGGCTTCGTCCTGCTTAGGGTTTAGGGTTTAGGGTTTAGGGTTTAGGGTTTAGGGTTTAGGGCTTAGGGCTTAGGGCTTAGGGCTTAGGGATTAGGGCCGTTTCATTAGGCTTTACTCAAGGTCTCAGGGAATTGTGTAAGTAGGTGATATTTCGGAACAGTCTAAAATAACCCAACTTAGTGCCCTCAAGCAGGGTTTAGGTCTTCGCGTTCGATCGCTTACGCTCCAAGATTCGGGCGTCCAGGGTTTCAGTTAAGGCTCAGGGCTGGGGGTTCAGGACTCCCTCTTCTGTGGAGCCCCTGAGCCCTAAACCCTGCAGCGAATGCATCTTTTCTTGGGGCTTAGAGTTTAGGGTTTAGGGTTTAGGGTTTTGGGTTTCTACTTGAGGGCCTGATGCCATGCTTGTTTTTTCGAGCCATGTCTTGCCTTCCAACAGTTGGGGACCTCTTTCCTGAAATAAGGGCGATCGCATTTTGCGGTACACCAAGGTTCATGCCAGGGCTCCTAGGGTGAATCAGATGAGGGTTTAGGGTTTAGGGTTTAGGGTTTAGGGTTTAGGGTTTAGGGTTTAGGGTTTAGGGTTTAGGGTTCCGATCTAGAATCTGCGCTTCTGGTGTTGGCTTGCGGCTCCAGTATTCGGGTTGCGCAGTCCTACATCCCGACAAGCCCCTACAAACCGTCAGCCCTCAACCTTCCTTCAGGGCTCAGGGAACTCAGCAAGTAGATTTTGCAAACAGTCAGACTTAGAACACCCCAACCTAGGGCACCAACGAACCCTTACATATAACCTGCTAAAGCTTGCTGAGCCTTGAAGAGAAAAAACCTTCGAAGCCCGCTGAAGAGAAAAGCCGCCCAAAGCCCGCACCCTAAACCCTAAACCCAAAAGATAGGAAGGGCCGAAGAGCCTGGCAAAAGATGGCCTCGACATCCAAGGTCCTGCAACGGTTTAGGGTTTAGGGTTTAGGGTTTAGGGTTTAGGGTTTAGGGTTTAGGGTTTAGGGTTTAGGGTTTAGGGTTTAGGGTTTACCCTAAACCCTAGACCCTAAACCGTATTAAATGGGGCTTTGCTCTATTGTGCTCTATTGCTCACGGTAGGGGCTGTTTGGTTTTTGGGTTGGTGCCTCGAGACCTAGCCGGTGTGGTTGCTGTGGAAACTGTATGTACCCCTAAACCCTAAACCCTAAACCCTAAACCCTGAACCCTGTAGAAACCCAACCCCAGACCCAGGCCGGGCCTTTCGCGTGGAGTTGCTGGCTGCGCGTCGCAAAGGCGCGCTGCAAGCAAGTCTCCAGGCAGCAAGAAGTTGTCCCACAGCAGGAAGAAGTCGGCGCTCCTGAAAGACTGTGTCAGGATAAAAGCTGGGATTTCGGCTTCGAGTTTAACATTTAGGGGTTTAGGAATGTTGGGGAACCGTTAGGGGGCTACGGAAGAAAGGGCTCTCTGGAGCCGTAGGGCCTTCATGGAAGCTAAGTGGTGTTGGGGTGGCTGCAGAGTCTTACCAAGGGCGCTTTGTTGGCTGCCGCGAAGATGTGGACCCCCCCATACCCCCCCCCCCCCCCCCCGAGATCTGCGAAGTCATCCTTTCTTCTCGTCCCGGTCCTGCATTCCGACACCTGAAGCCACTGCAGCACGCGGTCGTACCGGCTCTTGACGGCGTTCCGCAACTGAACCAAGCTCTCGATCAGCTTCGCGGCTGCGGCAAACTCCCGATGCAGGCGAAGCTTCACCTATACTGAACTTCGAACCCCAAGCAAAGATGATCATTTTCGCTGTTTCTTAGGAATTGTAGAGTACCCAAGGATTAAAGAATTATTTCCAAGTACCCCTAAGTCACGGGGTCTGCCGGATCCAGGTCCTCCGTGCACTTTCGCAGAGTGGCCTGGATGTCCAAGGCAGCCTCGTGGATGGAGGAGACAGCTTCATCACACTCTTCCAGTGTAAGGTGGACGGCCTTGCCTGGACTGCTGTTAGGGAGCTTAAGGAAGTCATTAACTAAGGGGTTTAGGGTTTAGGGTTTAGGGTTTAGGGTTTAGGGTTTAGGGTTTAGGGTTTAGGGCTTGCCTGGAGTCCGTGGGCTAGACCGCCAGGATCCCAGATACCGTTGTAGTGAGTGAAACGCACTATATTTAGTTTCAAGAGTTCACGGAGTTCATTCCGGATTGTAAAGAGAATACCGCGGGCACCTAGTAATTCTTTTATTAGCCCGCGTGCGTTCATGACAGGGTCTCTCGTTCACTTAATCAATACGCAGGGTTTAGGGTTTAGGGTTTAGGGTTTAGGGTTTAAGGTTTAGGGTTTACCTTTCAAGGATCAGCAGCCCAGTTGCTGATCTTTGCTTCCTCAGCATCTTGGACGACTCGGCGACTGACGTTTTGAAGCAGGGGCCCCAAAGCCTCGACGAACTCAGCCGCCTGGCTATTCAAGGAGTCGAAGAAGACCATGAAGAGCAAATGCTGCAGGCTCCTGCCATCAGCCCCCTTGATGCTGTGGAGCCTTTCCAACACTTCAATGTCAAATCCAGGCGCATCCGCAAATTCAGTGCCTCGATTCATCCAGTTTCCAGTGGCCAGTATCAGCGCGAGCAGGGCAGGGACCGCCTCGGAGTTCTCCAGGCTTTCAAAGACATCCGAGAGGTCCTTCAGCGAAGCAGTTGCTTACTCTTGTAGTATAATACTGTAGTAGACTACTGCGCCGAAATGTGGCTAGTGAATCGATGAGGCGTGGTTCTCTGCCCCGTTGAGTCCTCGAGATGCTGACTTTGGCACGAAACCCGCTCCCGATATGTCCGGATGAAGTGCCAGCACTCCATTCGCTCGGCAAAGGAAGGGATTTGTGCGAGCTGATCCCAGTACTCCTCTCTTCGGCCCAGCCGTGCAGAGGGTTGCAGCTTCCGTGCCTGTAGCCAAGGCCCCGGGACAACCCCTCCTAGGGCCTCGTTGCTGGGTTGATAGCCTTTGGGTTCAGGGTTTTAAAGAGTTAGGATTCCTTCGTTGAAACCATATGGGGGTTTGCGAAATTAGGGGTGCCTTATTGTGGTTCCGAATATAAGGGAATCCTACTATCTGGGGGGCTATTCTAGGGGGTCCCTTATTGTGTGACTCACATATTTCAGAATGCCATGCTATGACTCCTTGCAGGCCTCAGCCAACAACTCCAGCTCCTTCTTCGTGGGGGAAGCTCTCTGCAGACGCTCCAGCTCGTCCAGTGCCAGGCGTTGGTCCTCCGCGCGTAGGGCTACTTGGGGGGCATTCTAGGAATATAAAATTGCTTCTTCTTCTTCTTGTTTTGTTTAAGGGCGTTGTTTTCGGTTCTTCGGGCGATTTAAACGAAGCAGGAAAAGGAGTCACAGGACACAGGAGCCAACTCCACAGGGTGTTTTGGGGCGATTTTGGCGAGTTTTGTGTTAAACCCTAAACCCTAAACCCTAAACCCTGGTTCGTGGAGTCCTCGAGCTCCAAGAGAGCACGGCTGCAGTCCGCTGGCGAAGGAAGGAGTCGAAGCTCGCGGTCCTGCACCTGAAGTTTGGGTTTCAGGGGTTTGGGGTTTAGGGTTTAGGGTTTAGGGTTCTAGGTTTCAGGGTTTCAGGGTTTCAGGGTTTCTAGGGTTTTTACGTCTCTAGGGTTTCTAGGGCTTTTCGGGTTTTAGGGTATTAGGGTTTCAGGGTTTTTCGGAGTTTAGGTTTTTTAGGGGATTCGCAGGAGGCGCTTCTGCTCAAACCCAGTGTTTGGTGTGTTTCTGCCCGGAGCACACCTCTTGCTGTCCTAGCAGAGCCCCAGCATCTCACGCGCTCGCGCTTGGTGCGTCGACGTCCGCCATTGCTGGTGGCGTCTTCGGCTACTTTTGGTAGCCTTACCAGACCACTTGCTGTCATTTACTTGGCCAACTGGTTCGGGTTTTGGCTACAACCCCTGCGTCCCTGGAGGTGTCGCATGTGGCTGAGGGCTTTTGCCCTCTATATTACAACTGGTGTTTTTCTGAGCTGCGCAGCTCATTATTCAGTGGCCCCCGACTGTGGCGAAGGTGAAACGGCCACCCTCGCCGTCCTGGCACCGGAAACTCCGTCGGAACAGGGCAAAGGCAAGAAGGCGTTGCAGAGCAGGCCGCGGTACTTTCCTGGACCACACCCTTCTTCGTCTTCATCACGGCTCCATGGCACCGAAGGACCAGAACCGTGCCAAGGACAAGGCCAAGAGTACAGGCAAGGGAGCAGCTGCCAAGAGCAGTACAACCAGCACCTTGAAGTTCGTGGCCCCGGGAAGCGTCCTTGCAGCACTGCAAGCTCGAGCAGACCGGGCACATGCAGCCATTCTGGCCCCGGAGGAAAGCTTGACGCCTGTCCGGTCTCTGGCCCAGGAAGCGAATTGGCACGCAACGCAGGTTGCGAAAGCCTCCAAACGCTTGGAGTTTGGGGTCAAGGCGAAAGCAGAGCTGGCACAAGCTGGGAAGGCGTGGTTCGTAAAGATTGCGGAGCACCTGGGATTTCATTTGGCGGATGTGGCACGACAAGGCCAGCAATTGGATCAGGATATGCAAGAGGCCTTGGACATTTTGTCCAGCCAGGCTGGTACGTCCTCTTCGAGCACCACGCAGGAGCTGCTGTCGAACGCCAGAGCCAGCCTAGGGTCGGTCTGGAGCCCGCATATGCCAGATGCGGTTCGCCAGGTTTCAACGGCCCTTCGGAACCTCGAACAGGTGGGGGGAATGGCCAGCGGAGCGACTTGGCCACCACGACTCCCGCCACCGGCACCGGAGCTCTCTACGTTCGGAAATCCTCCTACGATTCCCAAGGCTGCCACGGATGGCCCCCAGATCTTCCTGAAAGAGGGAGCTCAGCATGGCAACAGATGGAGCAAACGATCCTCACAACCCTCTGCCCTGGAACGACCAGTGAAGAGTCCGAGGACAAGCATGATGGCCCAGGATCTACCAGCTACGCACTCCTTCAGCGACCACATGGCAGGGCAGCCACCTTGGTCCACCATGGCCACGGGTCGGACTCCGCCCAAAGATCACAAGCCCCGTGTTACCTTGGCAGAGGACACGCCTTCGGAACCTATGTCTTTTCAGCAAGACGAGGAGATCGCCACCGAGGTCGAACAGGACTGGATCCAATTCCAGGACGAATGGGTCTCCGCATGGAATGCCATGGTGAAACTCCTGGTGGACAAGTTTCAGTCTTCGGTACCGCAGGTGGGGCACGATGCCAGATTCACAGCTGTACTGCCCGAGCCGCCCTTTCTGGATCCGGACGAGGTAGAGCAGATGTCCAGGTCCACCTTCGAGACCCTGCTACGACACCCCCTGTCAACAGGACCAGAGATCGCGAGTGCAGTCGAGGACATCCAGCAGTGCTACCGATGCCTGCGCTGCTGCCCGGATGCAGTGGTACGCTGCCCGATAGTGGTCCTCGTCATGGGGCACGTCCTCCAAGGTGCAGTTCAGGATGTCCACTCGTTTTCCCCCCGATCAGTGGAGGAGTACCTATATCCCGAGCTGGTGCTCCAGATGATGCCCGACATGGCAACACAGCTCGGAAGCTCCACCTCGGCGACCCCCGCGCAGCTGGTGCTTCAGGCCTGTGCATGTCCCTTCTCTACCCGGTGAAGATGGTCCACAGACAAGGGGCAGCTGGCAGAGGAAAAAATACCTGCAACCCACGATGCCGCACTAGCCTCTTCCTCTTCACGGCTTGGGGACTCGCTTTCTCTGGGGCTTCTTTGAGCCTGTCAGGTTCCGCCTTGTGTACCTTGTTGGGGCTTTGTTTGGGATTTGCTCTTGTCTTTTCCTGCCTGGAGCCCCACACCTCTATGCGTCTCCCATTGAGGGTCACTCACCAGGTCACATACTGTCTAGGCTCCCGGCCCCCGCAAGTGCTCGCGACTACAAGACGGCTCATTGCAATCATGGTGGCTGCAGGAGGGGGCTTACTGATTGCTCCCCATTGGAGCTACTGCATCTGTGCTTGGCTTCCGATGGCTGCCTTCTGGGCTGGGTTACATGCAACCCCACTCCGCCACTGTGTCTGGTCACAGCGTCAGCCTTACTGTTCCCTTAAGCAAGTCCGTGGCAGGTGCAGGATTCAGTGCAAGGGCGCTCTTCTCCTACTACTCCTGTTCAGTCCAGCCAATGCACGCCCCCCCCCCCTTCAGGTAGCTTGGGAGGGTAGGCCTGCCCCTCCCCCTGCAAGACAGGACTTCTCGGAGGACCGGCCACGGTATGGGGTGCCTTTCTCAGATAAGTACCCAGCAATTGGGCCCGCTCTCTCTCACTGCCCTCTCAACCACCCGGAACTAGCACCGAACGTTTCCTGGGAGGTTGACAGATATGGTAGGAGCGCCGGACCGACTTTAGTGCCACAAATAAGGAACCTTGCTGACCTTGCACCGGTTGAGGAAGTCGGAGCCCGGCCTATGGTTCTCCAGGATCTTCTCGAGCCTGCTTTTGTCCGACGAGTGGCGGTCTTCCATGGAGGTCTTTCCGAAGGCTCTGAGCCGTGCCTTCTTCAGGTGGATGCGCGTCTTTTTAGGCCAACCCTTGACCAAGCCTTGCTCACAGCACTTGGCCTGTCCCCATCCGAAGCCACGGTTATCCAGTTGCAGACTACTTTTCCGACTCTGCCCACTGAGCAATTTGTCATCAGGTCCCGCTCCTTGCCGTGGTACATGCACGCTGTGCCTGTCGGGTCTCTACTCCACAGTTGGGTATTTGTGGTTGTTGTGACCCCGCGAGATGCTACTTGCATGCATGTCGTTCGGGAAGCATTACAGAGAGGCTCTCAACAGGCCACCTCAGCCCATGCTTGCACCTGTCACCCCGGCTCATACACCGCGGAGGAACAGCCTCTCTTGGCACCGTCCTGTGACGCCGTCATTCTAAGCAATCACGAAGCTACTCTGCCACTTGGCGATCTCCGCGTCGCCCAAGTGGGCCTCACTCAGCTTGTGGCAGGCTCCATGAGCTTGGAGAATCAGTCAGGAGCGATGGTCTTCACGGACAATGGCTGGATCCAGTTAGACTTTCCTGCACATGACCCAGTCACACCCCCCCTGCTGGGTAGGCGATTTCCGGACCTACCTGGGTTACACCTGAGTCAGTTACCTTTTCCCTTACCTGGTTTTCCGACAGCACAATTTGTGGCCTCGCCTTCTGATCCGGCGAACGGGCTGTCCTTAGTTGTGGACCTACGGGCTTGTCAGCTTGGGGTCGTTGTGGTGCCCACGCCCCGCTTCTCATGTTGTCGGGATGTTGCACAAGCGGCTGTACGAAGGTGGGCGCTTGATGCCCACCAGCCCTACGAAGCCCATGAAATTGACTGGGGATGGTGGACCTGCTTCTTGCATGATCAGCCTGTTCATGCAGATTCCTTGCTTGATCTCTCACCCTTCCTCTCACTCAGCCTGGCTCCGACACCCCGTGCCAATTCACCAGAAGGGCTCCCCACCTTCTCGCAGGCGGATGGAGCCATCCGGCACGTGCTAGGCAGCCAATTGTTTATGCTATTTTGCGCACTGCGACTTTATGACTGGGCCATTCTGGTACCTCTCGCGACTTGCATGCAGCCAACGGCGGCTGCTCGGGGTCACAGTGCCCCTCCTATGAGGCCAGGACGGCTCTACGGGAGAACTGCTCAGGCATCGGAGCAGATCGGACAGCCGGCGTCTGCTGCTACTCATGCAGCCATACATGCTGATCTCATGGCATCTGGTCGGCTTAGCACCCCTTCCCTAAGCCCCAGCCCACTAGGTGATGATGATCCTCGAGTCGTCCACTTCATGATTTGGTCGCCACAAATTGTATGGTCCACACACTTTCCGGCATACCAGTCTTGGGGACGTGTTCTAACGACCATAATGCGGGATCACCGGGTCGATGGAAAGCTTGCCCTACTGCCGATTGCCTCCCCGCCCGACTTCACGCATGTGCATCTTGTAGCGGTCACAGGCCACCGCGATGTGGCCACTATTATAATCCGTCTGCAGGAGCACTTCTACTGTGTGGAGGTCCAACCCCTCTCGGCCGGTGCACAGGTGCACCAATGGGCGCGTGACCGTCTCGGCCATGATGTGTTCAGGGTGGATTGTTCCTTCCATGGATTGACAAGGCATGGCGATGTCTGCACTGTTGTGGTCGCGGCACAACACCTTAGGCCGACACTTCTGGATATCAGCACCTTTTCCCTGGCGTTTCGTGACAACACCGCGCACACTGGCTCGGTAAGAAGGCACGTTTTCCCCCTTCTACAGCCAGAAGCACCCCATCTCTGGCTGCCGATTACTCTTGGGGTACCAGCCAGAGAGACGGTCAACAACATGCTGAACTTTGTACGTCCCACATCGGATGCCCCGATTCTCATCATCGACCTGCCGCCGCATACTCTCGGACACCCCCCGCACCCGGTTCTACTCGCTGCCCCGCAAGGGAGTATCTGCACGGTAGTGTGGCTTGTTGACAGATGGGATGCCCACAACCTAGGTGCAGCTTTTGCTATACGCGGGGTCTTCGCCACGCATGACGAACTGCTGCAGTCGCTTGAGGCCCTGCCTGGCAATCCAGGTGCAGTTCGGACAAAGGCAGGTCGCATCGGCATACAATGGTGGCCAAAAACCCAGGTATGTCAGTCTAATGGGGGAGCTGTCATCTGCGAGGTAATTACTGCTGCCATGATAGGTCGACAAGCCCTCACCTGGCTCGACGAGAACTCCCTTTCTTCAGCCCCTCCCTACGCACGTCTTGCAGCTAGCAACCCCCTGGAGGAGGTCAGTGTTGCTAGTTCTTGGTCCACCTCCTCCTTGGGGGCCGCAGCGGAGATCTGCAGC